AGCAAGTACGTGTTAAAATAGAACAGGCTACATCTGACATCCTGAAAGAGAAGGCCTAGCTTGTTCTCCCAGGCAAGGAAGATGAAGAGAGATGGAGCACCCGCTTCTGCCTGCGTTCCTCCTTGGAAGGTTGTGTGGAGCAGGCCAAGAGCAGAGATTAAGTGAAGAGAGGGACTGGTGAGGAGGATTCCCTCACTGCGAGATGCCATCTTAGCCGACTCCTTGTGCCCATGCCAAACGCACGGTGCCAGCCACGTTCCCGTGAAAGCCTTAAAAGCAAACACCCAAGGAGGTTTCTGCACCAATGCAGGAGGAAATGGAGCAATTTGCGAATGATGCCCGCGGATCAGTGACAAAAATCTAGGAGGCTCCAGAAGTGAACCCACCCAGAGCTGAGATCTGCATAGATCTGTGCTTCCACCATCTGTGTCCTCCATGCAGTGGACGCTGCATTTCCTCTTCCATCCGCAGCACGCCTCCTCTGATCTCTCCCTGCCATTGGCAGAAAGCTCTCACACAGGGGAGGGACAGGATGATGGCACAGGGGAAGGGGATGCTGCAGGGCTGCACCCCTGGGGACAGCTGTGCTTGCGTGCCCTCGGCCCACCAACCGACCTGAGGACAGGTGCTGTTAGGGGCAGAGCTGTTCCGCAAGGGAAGCTTATGGGGGTATATCAGGGCTGCAGAACCTCTTCTAGCAAGAGGGCTGAATTCTGTTTCTGAGATGCTCTCGGAGCTTGCATTTCAGAGAGAACGAGCAAAGGCAAATGCGTGTGGCCAGAAATAGGGCCTATTTTGGCCTCAAGCTCTTAGTTCAGCCTTAGGAGAGGCATTCCGTGCTGTCAGAAGAAGGGCGGAACCGTGCAAAGGCCAGGAAAACCACGGACTGGCAGGAAGGGCTGGGGCCAGGGAGGAGGACATGCATGGCCAGGTTAGTACCCCAGGAGAGCCAGTCTGGCCCCAGCTTGGCCATGGGCACCTCCCTTTGTCTTTCAAGCAGGGTGAAAAAACACGCAGACTCCCATTCTGTGCTGAGAAAGTTAAAGCTGTGCAAATATCGCGCTAAAGCTTTGCAACAGCAGATGCAAAACCCAACACTGCATTTAGGATCCTGCTGGGGATGCGCTGATGAAGAACAATTGAGCCTGGGGCCTCCACTCCCTACAGGCCCCAGCAAACCTGCAGACTCGTCACATGGTGCCCACAGTTTCTCTCTCTCTTTCTCAATTTGAGAGGCTGTACCACCAGCTGAATTTCCAGGAATGTCTCTCTGCTGGGAGGAACCTGGGGGAATGATAGAGGGGACAGGAGTGAAGCCTTGTGTGTCTTGCCTAGTCATAAGGAGTCTGGGTTAATCATCCACCCGGGAGGATCGATGCAGTCCATTATCACACAATAGTGTCAATTCATCCATCAAGAGGTGAGCAAGACAGGTTCGGCCACCCTCATCCGATGCTCCGCAAGGTGCTGAAGGAATTTACTGACATTTGTGCCCAAGGAATTTGTCCGTCTAGGTTGTTGCATTCCTTTCTAAACAAGGTGTAAGTATCATTATTGCATCACATCTGCATTCCACCTTTTTTTCCCTCATGAGAAACCCAAGGAAGATTACATTATCCTTCTCCACTCTGTATCCTAACAACAACCCTGTGAGGTAGGTTATGTTGAGAGTCCATGACTGGCCTGGTAAGCTTCATGGTTGAGTAGCTCTGGATCTCCCAGATCCCCAGGCCAGTGCTGTAACCACTACACCAGACTGACTCATACATGGACGTCCTCAGCAAAAACATTAGTCTTCCATTTTGCTTCAGCTACTAAAACAGCCACGGGGCTGAAAAATACCCGTCATCCCCTCCGGCATTGTTATCATTCCATCTGAGGACGATAACAGGTGAAGGCGGTCTGGCAAGTTGGCGACACAAAGGAATGCAGCTCGTCAACCAGAGGGAGCAATTAGTGATGAATTGTGGGAATGTTCCAAGAGGTTGTTGCTGCTTCTGCTACTTCCTCCCATGATCTACTAGAGGGGGCCTTGGAAGGCAGGTGGATCATCCAGCTGAAGTTCTCTTTGCTGTGGCTTCCACCAACACGACTTCGAAGAAACGCCGGGCAGAGCTGTGTCAAAGCCAAAGCACACAGAGGAGAACAAATACTTCCACTTTTTGGAGCAGAAGTAGGAGGGCTTCTTCCTACTTCTTCAGGGAAAGCGTCTTCCCTGAAGTATTTCAGGGTGTTGGGTCTTTATTGGTTTGAGGGTCAATACTAGAGCAGCTCTTGGCAGTTGCATGCTGGTGGCGGCACGAAGGAAGCAAAGTCAGGTGGGGCCAAAATATCAGGCTATTTCGTCGTAGAGGCCTTTTGAGCCACAGGCATCAACCTTTGGTTGGGATCTGCATGTTCCGAAGCTCCTTGATGTCCCTCAATCCAGGCAGAGAGAAGTTGGCCCATCTGGAGAAATGGGTTCCACCTAACCTTCTTCATAGGATGCTGTTAGCAGAAAGTCTTTCGTTAGGTGCATGGAACCATCCCTCTGCAGTGCCATGTGGCGTTTTGCCCAGAAAGGGCCCCATCACCTAGCATCTCAAATAGGACTGGATGACAAAGTTCTTGACAAAGCTCTTCCATGGTTCAAGCAGAGCTATGCTTGCTCCCCAGTACCCTTTCTCCCACAGCCTGCCCTACTCCACTGCCATAATCGGATACCCTTTCAAGAGAACACTCCCTGATAGCCCATGGACCATACATCTTCCTACCTTTGACAAGGTAGTGGCTCTTCTCTGGTGAGCAACGTCTCAGGTGGAAGGAAATGAAAATCAGCTTTCCTGAACCTGGTGAGACTCAGGTTGTGGTTACAGGGTTTGCCTCTACGCAGATTCACCCTCCACATAGCCACCGCATGTTCAGCCAGAATATTAAACCAACAGGCTGTGAAGGATACCCCCATGTCTATATAAATATATTCTTAAAAATGACCAGAGGCTGAGAAAGAATGGAATTCTACAAAGCCCTGAAGCAAATAGAGAATAACCACCTCAAGCTTATCAGAGGTGCAATTGTGGCTCTATTAATGACAGGCCGAGCTGCTCCTCCAGACCTTTGGACTTCAAAGAGTTGTTGATATCTTATCTGTGGTGTTGGCCAAGATGAAGAAAACAGCATTTCTAACGTCTGGGGGACTCTACTTTCAATCTCTTATCTCACCACAGTGATGGGAGGTTTACTAAGTTGCTTCCTCTCGGTTCTCCTTCTCCAAAGTCTGCTGTGTTCTGGAAAAGAGACATCAACCTTTTTCTGGGTAGGAACCAGATAGTTCACAACTCTGTACCCTGCATTTTCTCCTGTTAAACAACTCCTCTTTCCACACAACCACACCACTTGACTTTAGATTCCTCCTTCCTGTTCTCAAAGAGACCTTGCAGATTCACTAGGAAGGACCAACTTATAAAGAGACTAATCATGCAACATCTTTCTCCTAAGTTCATAGAATCATAGAAGAAGAGTTGGAAGGGGCCATGAAGGCCATCTAGTCCAACCCCTGCTGTTGCAGGACTCCAATTCACACCATCCCACTCAGAGGGCTGTCCCATTTCTTTTTGAATGTCTCCAGTGTGGGAGAACCCACCACCTCTTCAGGCAGCTGGTTCCACTCTCCTATTGCTCTGACAGTGAGGAAACTTTTCCTGATCTCTAGCCTGAATCTGGGTTGTTGCAACTTGGGTTGTTTACTCCATGTCCTGCCCTCCGGTATCAGCAGGAAGAGATCTTGATCTTCCTCTTTGTGACAGGCTTTGAGTGTTATCACGTCCCTCCTCAGTCTTCTCAAGACTCCCAGCCTCTCCTCACAGGGCAATGTTTCCAAACCCAAGATGGTCCTTGTTGTCTTCCTGTGAACTCTTCCCAATATTTCTGTATCTTTCTGAAATTTTGGCGGCCAGAACAAGACACAGTGTTCCAGATGAGGTCTAACGTTTTGGAGAACGGCAATGGAACCAGAAGATGTTGGTATCTTCTGCCTATTGTGTACAAATAGAACACTGAGGGAAAAAATACATAATTAGGGTGTTAATTGATCTCCAACTTTACCTTGAAGTCTGCTTTGAGAACTTACTCTTGAAAGGCAGTATGCAAATAATCAATACATAAATAAATACATGAACTTAATTGAACTGAAACAGGGGCTGTGGTTGTTCAAAGGAGAACATAGGAAAATAAAATTACGTATTTTCTTTATATGTTTCAGCACATAGAAACCTCCAGGGGTGTACTGAGGGGCCTTGGAAGAGGGCCTCTTGGATCCGGCTGAATCCTTGGAATGGTGCTTCCCAAAATCCCAGTGAGTTGCCCCTGGGAGGCACATGGAGGGCCTTCAAGACCCCTACCACGATTGCTCCTCACAGTTCCCTGATGTCCCGCCATGGTTCAGTTTCTCTGCTGGGCCAATTCAGGGGCAGGTCCAGGGACCACCACACCGTGGAATGAGGCTGAGGCAGGAATGGCCAAGATGCAGCCCGCCGGCTCTTCCTTGGCTCTTTTGGAACCAGCCAGGCCCACTGTGGCTGCCATTTTACAAATGGGAAACCCTCTCCCCATTTTGTGGGAGTGCCTACGACACTCTAGAAATTCCCAGATGGGTTCCCTGATCCAGAAAGGTTGGGGCCCTCTGTTTCACCTGGATCAAATAGATAGGTCCAAAAGCTGGCGTTATCTAATGTATACCTGGATCCTTGTGCCTGAACAATGGGTGGGAAACCAAGACGGGGCTGTTTTTCCTTTAAACAGGGAAACCTCTTTCCCTATAGATGAAAACTTGCTTGCTTACTTACCTACGATCCAAGGAGCTTGGCTGTGGGGAAACATAGGCTTATTTGTTCCCAGCTTACACACACATACCAAAATGTCTCCTTCAGCTACCATGTGAGATAGCATGTATGTCCTCCATAATTTGGGGAACCGCTGCAACAAATACACGCTCCAAATAACTGAGATGCCGATAGCAGGAGGCACATTTTTACCAGTTTTCACTTTATTTCAGTCAAAAGGATTCTCAAAGTGTACAGTTATTTGGGATAAAATACTAGAGATCACGTCTGGAAAAAGTGTATGTGTGTGTGCATGGATAATATTTATAACATTTGTGTCACCTGCATATTTCCCCTGGACTAGTTAGCTGTACCAACATAAGTTATTTCTATATGAATGGATATGGGGTTTTGCCTTTCATATAGAAGAATATAGGATATGGCTGAACATTTTGAATATTTCACAGAATATGCAAAAATAAAACACTTTAAAATGTCATCTTCTTTTTTTGGCTTTTAAGGACAAATAAAATCATTGAGAGAATGGTATACAATATAGACATTAACAGCCCTGCCCCCATTTTTTTTTTTTTTTTTAAACATGGCTGGAGTGTTGTTATACATTTTCCAAATAAAATGTTACCAGAACTCGGGAAAAAAAAATAAACCTTAAGAACTCAGTAGTAGCTTGTTACAGGAGAATAGACTGCCCCTTGACCCTTCCTGGCTATACAATATCGTTTCTTGCTTTCAGTGGGTATTTTTCAGCTTTTTAATATATATATATTTAAATATATATATTTATATATATGTGTTTTGGTTTCTTTTGGTGAAGTCAGTGATTTAAGGCTGGTTTGTGTCTAAATTACTGAGAAGTCGAAAACTTAAAAAATGTGTTTACACAATATACACATTTCATTACTTACAAAGGAGAAAATAAGCTTAAACATTTCATATTAAAAACCTGGGGTACAGTAGGGTTAGTAGCACCATGATGCATCTGCTTTTCGGAACTGCACAGTCTCTCCTCATATCAGTCATCACAGTGCATTGCGGTTTCTTCCTTTCCCGAGGCAATTTTTTCAGAGCGCCCTCTCAAACTCCTGGGGTGGAAGGATCATGTCCCCTTCCAGTCCCCGGCGGTCCTGAAACGCCTCCTGTCTTCGCCAAGAGGCCGGTCCCCTTGACCAGAAAACAAAACCAAAAATGCACCAGAAGATGGTCGTCGAGATGGTTCTTAGAGAGGTACACCGGAATCTGCATTGTCTGGATTTTCTTTTCTTCTTCTTCAGAGTTATTTTATTTTATTTTATTTTCCTTTGCACAATAGCACCATTGTAGAGCTGAGGACAAGCGCATCAGGAGATGTCTCGGTTGTCTCACAACAGTCTCCCGGTCATGATGTCCTCTTCATGCATACCTGGCATCGGCTGATACGTGTACGCAGGTCTCCGGCCTTGAGGGTCTCCGACTGAGGTTTGCTGGTGAACAGAAATCCAAAGAAGAAACACAGAGTTAAGGCAAGGACTGGGGATGTGTGGCTGGAGAGCTGTGCGGGGTTCATCTCCGGCCACAGGATTTCCCTCCGAGGACTTCCCCACACCCATCTCAGCTTCCAGGGACTTTTCTTCCTCCGCAGCCAGCACAGAAAAGCAGCAGTTCTTAGGCAGTATAGGCTCCGACACAGATGGGGAACCTGGTTTATGGGGGCTGGGTAGGGGAGCATTAACCCTTTGCAGCCAGCTTGCCTGGCCCCAGCACCTGTGATCTGCATCCCCATGAAAATTTCCCACCCCTCCAGCAATGGACAGGATGCCTAGCTGATGGCAAAGAGTCTCAGCCTCCTCTCCCACCCATGCCAAGGTTCTGCAAGCCCACCCTGCAGTGTCTGCCATCTTTACTGGAAAAAAACACATCCGTGGATTGATGTGTTTGCTTTGCATGGATAGGAGTACAAAGCAAAGGTGAGAATACCATCCAGAGCACCTGGAAACTTCTCGGGGGCTGCCTCCCACTGGTGGGGGAGACTAAGGGCAAAGGGGTAGAGCCAAAGGCAAACGGGGGTGGGACTGAACTGCCAGCCAATCATAGCTCAAAGCTCTGAACTTAGCCCGGGAAGTATTTCCAACTGCTAGAATGCAGGAAGGTGCAGAAGCGTCAGGAAACTCCCTGATGATGGGTGGCTGGAGGAAAGGGGACGATTCAACTGCAAGGACGCTGGTGGGCTGGATTGGCCCCTGACCTGCGGCTCCCCACCGCGGTTAAGGAAATGAATGGATGAATGGGAAGCGCTTCTGTGAGACGGAGCGTCAAGGGAAGGTCTGTGCACGGATCCCTCCATCAGGGAACGAATTGGTCCACCTCAGCCACTATTGCATTATATTAATCAAATAAGCGACAAAACAATAATAAGGGCAGGAGCTGGACAATGAAGTCACAGCCGGTCACCTGAACATTTCTGTTGTCTCCACCGTCGCCAGCCAGAAGCTGTATGAATTGGCATAGTAGTTGCAGGTCCCGCGGCCGTGGCACTCGATGAAGGGGGCCGAGCGGAATTCTTCGAGACAGGAGCCTGGGGAAGCCAACGCCTGGCCGGACCCCTCCGCACCAGCACTCGTGTGCTAGGAGAGACACAGGCAGTGAGGGAAGCTCCTCTGCAGGCATGCAGGCAAGCGGCATCCATGGAAAGCTCCCCGGTTTGTGGCTGATCCATGGGGACGACTGCACTCCTAGGCCAGAGTGGTGAGAAGTCCTCCCAGCCCAGCATCCTGATGGCAATCCAGATGCCATCGAGCAACCCACAAGGGGGACATGAGGAGAAGACAACTCTGAGCAGTTGGAGTGAAGACGGGGATGGCCGAAGCATGAGGGCCCCTCTCCGTCTTCTTCTCTACACAGGTTTGGATTGCAGCCCTCATCATTCCCATTCCTCTGCAGGCTGGGGTTTATGGGGGCTGTAGTCCAGCACATCTCGAGGGCAGCAGGTTGAGAAAAGCAGGAATGGGCCTTTTGTTTCCATTGCTGTTCGGCGCGGCCAGCTTTGTCTCGTTCTTTGGGGTTTTGCTGATTTGCAAATTCCTAATTAGCAGCCATTACAACAGTCCTCACCCTCATCTCCAAACACCCACATTTAATTAGGGACGCGCAGATCAGCAAAATGTGAGCTTGCCAATGTTCTCTAAATTCCATCTCAGCACTCATTCCGACTCAAATCTCCCTCAGACCGCCAGCTTTAATTTTCTCTTTTTCCATGAAAATCCATGCATAGTTTTTGCAAATTATTGCAACTGCATGCATCGCTTGTGCAAACTTTGAATTGTAAGCATTTTTCTCCCATCCATGAAATTTGTGTGCGTTTTTCAAGTGACACATTTTCTCGTGTGCATTCTTCAAAGTCACGTGTGCTGTCAAGCTCAGCTTTTTTGGTGTATGAAAAAACCCTGCAAGCTCAGAAAAGTACGGAGGTCAACCACAACATGTGACTGAGCCCGCGCTTGTTCCGGAACTGCAAGCTGAGCAAATCCTGATTAAAATGAACTGAAATAAATGTTTCATACATCCCTACTGGTAATATTATAAATGCACGGATGTCTTTCAAGAGCAACAAAAGCAGTGATATTCTCTTCAGCATCATCAGATGCAGTAATATTCTCCTATGTGCTCCAGTGGCACCTTTGCTAGGAACTCTGGAGTGCCCTTGCTCACTACAACTGCCTACCAAAGGAAGTCAGGCTGATTGTCTTTGTCTCCTTTTGCCAGAGGGGAAAAACATTTTTAATCAGACAGGTCTTTGGCATATAAAGCCATCTGTTGCTGCTTGCTTCTTTTATCGTTGTTTTTCATTGTGCTTTAGTTGATGCATTGCATTGCTCATAATTGCATTTTTGTTTTAAATCTGGATGTTCTGGGTAGACATTTTAAGAGGCATTTTGGGGGAAGAAAAGCGGGAGAGAAGCAGAAGCAAAAGCAAAAACGCAAATGCGAAAAAATGCCAACGGAAAAAACGCAAACGCGGCTCCTGTCAGGAAGGCGTCAAAGGTGCTGTGAAGGCTCCTTCCGTCTCAGGCCTGCATTTGCAGGCTCATCCGACAGCAATGACTACCATCTTGTCTTGTCCCCACGCTTCTAATGTTTCTCACTGCATCTTACTTGCTTACATCTTTCCTCTAGGAAGAGAATGCAAAGGCATCGAGTGACTCAGACCCTTAGCCGCCTTATCCTAGAAGTTTGCGAGAAAGGACACCTACCATCATGAATGAATAGCCAATCCACAGGGAATACCACCCTTGTGGGCATGGTGGGATCTGAATGGTCTGGCTGTGCACAGCTATCACCATGGCGGGAGCTTCGCAGACTGTGCAGCTGGGAGGGAAGAAGAAAAAGAGTTGGGAAAGGTACCGAGCGTAAAAAGATTTAGAACATTTAGTAGAGCCCGGTTGGATCGGAGCAAGGCAGGGGCCCAGCGGTGCCCAGATCTGGCCCCCATGGGGCCCCCTTTTGGCCCTCAAGAGTATCCCAGATGGCCATAGCTCTCCCCCCGACCCCACCCAGTCCCCAACCACTGGCTGGTGATTTCCAAGCACTTAGACATCCTCCCCTTTCCCTAAAACTTGGGCTGTCTCCCCGATGACTTAATGACCAGCGTTAAGAGCCTTAACCTATAATAGGGTGGAATTTGAGGTATTTCTGTCCCTGCCACTTCTGCCTTCAGCCCACCGACCAGTAGAATGTGGGCCCTGAGAACTTCCTGGAACGGAATTTGTCCCTGCAAGGTCAAAAAGGGCTAACATTGTGCAAGCGCTGATTTCCGATAGCACCTGGGAGTGTTAGTGGGGCAAATGTCCCCAAATGTCCATGCAGCGTCCTGTGCCATCCCACCGGCCACCCAGTTGCTTCTGGGGAGGCCAGGAGACAGGAGAGCTGCAGCTGTGTTGTCCTCTCACTCCCCAGCAGCAGCTGCAGCCGGGAAGGCTGCCCCTGAATGTGGACATGATGTGTTGTCTAAGGGCAGTTCCCCAAAGAGGACTAGCTCTGCTGCTTGTCCTCTTCAAGCTGCACGAAGAGCTTTCTTCAGCTGTCGTGAGTGTCCTGCCCATCCATTTCACTGCGGAGACCCTTTCCAGGAATGTCCCGTTTAAGCGCACAGTTTTTCCAGCTTGATGAAGCTAGAGCTCTCTCGTAAGCCCTTTCAACTTCCTGTGATGTACAGCAGGCTGTGGGCAGGAAGTAGCTATCCAGATGGTTCCGATTTCAGCTCAAAGCATTGTTGGCTCTGGCCGAGCCAGCAGGGGCTTCTGGGAGGTGAAGTCCTAGACATCTGGAGATCTACCTGCTTCCTATCCCTGACCTGGACTCTCATTTTAGCAAGGATATGTGCAAGGTCCATCCTTCTTGTTCGTACCGGCTGATGAATGGCTGGATGGTCTTCCCTGTTATTGGCTCCATGCTCATTGGCATCGGCTCAGGAGTGGACAACCAGTAGGAATAGTCATTTCTAGATGCAAAATTGCAGACGTTGTTGATGTTGCAGAACATGAAGGGCATGGTGCTGAACCGGCGCAGACAGCTCCCGGCAGTGCCTGTCAGACAGGAAACTCCGATGAGCTGAAGAAGGACTTTCTTGGGGATATGTAATCTAAACAGGAGCCTCTTCCCAACTGCGGGCCCAGATGATGTGGTGGGACCAGGGCTAATGTCTTGCCAGCTGATCTTGGATGAGGGCAACCTCAACCCAAAGGGGGACCAGGGGCTTTCAATAGTGCAAAAGCTAGCTGCCCCTTACCTGGAGGTTGTTGAGTGGGAAGGAGGAAAATGGTGACCAACGTGTGGCCACCAACAGGGTATCCAAGAAGGAGGGTGGCCCTTGACCAAATAGCTTTGCCCACCCTTGCCTTGGGTTTTTGTCCAGTCCTCAGCCATAGATTCATGTTGTGGTTCTGGGCACACTTCTGCTACCATTTCCCACTTTAAAATCCAGCTATATGTCAAAGCTGTTGTGAAGGCAAAGGGCGACTTCTTTTATATTTTTTATTTATTTTATATTGTTAATTTTAATTTTATATTGTTATTTTTGTATTTTATTGTATTTTATTGGGTTGTAAGCTGCCCCGAGGCTTCGGCAAGGGGCGGCATAGAAATGTTTTAATAAATAAAAATAATAAATAAATAAAAGTCTGCACAGACTGAGTCAGGTCCCTGTCCGCAAGTCTACCCTTCTTTTTAGTGCAAATGTCACGGGACTAAGGGACTGTGTTTAGGCAGGGTTTAGCCATCATCAGGTGCTTTCTTTAACTAAGAGGGACTGAGTTCTGCCATACAAGCACCCCACAGCTTTTCAGCACCTTCTATGGGTGTGTGGCCTTGTGATCCTAACCAAAGACTATGTGGCAGCAGCAGGTTTTTCAGGTGCTGGACCTTCCTGCCACCTGCTTGTTCGATGCTGAACTGTACCTGACGCTTAAATCACTCTTTGGTGACTTTTACCATTGCTTCACTGGGCGCTGTTTATGTGATTGTGAAATCCTGTCGCTGCAGGAGGCAGGGGAACAAGTGGAATGCAAAGGCAGAGCTGGAGCATGGCTCAGCGGCAACCCAAACATGTCCGTCCTTTGCTGGTAGCAGACATAAACCCCAGTTACCTGCATCTTCTCATAGTTCCGTTCTAAGATGCCTTGGGCAGCAAAAGCAGAATTGCAGGGCAGAAGAAAGAAGTGTGACGTCACAAGGATTACATACCACCCATGCAAACAATTCTCTGCATTTCCTGCTCCACAAATGTGGCCCAGCAGAGGCCCTCTCTCACCCAAGTCCTGTCCATGGGCTCTCTCATTCCCCTGGACATAGAGAAGAGAAAATCCATCGTAGATCCGAATGGTTCCATGTGGGCAAAGTGGCGTGTCTGTGCTCTGGCTGTGGCGTGTTATGAGGAACCCGTGAGCCACCGAAGCAGTTCCTGGGGGGCCGGGGGGGCCCTGCAGCCCATCTGGACCGGGAGGGCCCTGCAAACCCCGCAAGCCTGTTTGTACAAGACGAACAGCGAAGTAGAGCCGCAGGCCAGGCTTGGCAGGCTGAGCAAGCCAAAAAGCTTCTCTGATACAACACACGTCTTCCATCCTTCACATTCCCAGTGCAGCTGGCAGTGCCCATCCCATTTATATATGTTAAGATTTTAAAAAATAAACTGATTTTGAAATGTGAGAGAGTTTGGCATAACATCCGTCTCACATCCCAGTTCTCTGCAATGAGCAACCAACCCTGCACAGCTTTTCCGTAACTTGTGCTAGAGAGGACCTTTTCACATCCTGGTGGGGTGGCAGAGATGCTACTTTGACACATCAAACTACCCTTTTATGTGGAAAGCTCCAAAGAGGGGATGCTCAACCTCAGGCGAATGGGCTAAATCAAGCCTGCCCGGGGTGCCAATCCACTGCCTCCTCCTCCTGACATTTTGGCTCCACCCCTTCTCCTGGCTCCACCCACCAATGAAATGCTGCCCCCAAGAGCTTCTCCAAAATGGAGTTGGACTGATATTCACCCATATTCTCAACTAGGCAACTCTCTGCCTCTGCTTCTCTGGGTACCACCCTTCTCCTGCGATTCTCCCCCACAGAGATGGATGGTCACCATACCTGGCTGACCAGAAACGCCTCTCTCCCCTTTACGTCCTCCTGGGCCATCAAACCCGGGAAGCCCGTCTCGTCCAGGATCACCAGGCAGACCGATTGGACCTGGATGAATATACAGATGAACAAATCAGAACAGAATTGCTGTGAACGTGCCTGAACTCTCAGCAATTGCTGGGTCAGATCCAGAATCTGCCTTCCGTTCACAGGAAGTCCCCCGCCCACATGGCAGTTCATGAGGGCCTCCTCACTTTCTCTAGAGGCAACATTTTTCTTGGACTGGGGGTGGGCACTGTGGGATGGAGCTGGTGGGGAATCCCACCTTCATCTGCACAGTTGGTCCAATATAAGTGCAGATCTTCAAATAGTTGGGCCACCTAATGAGAAGGAAGGACTCATGAAGAAGACCCTGGTGCTGGGAATGACTGAGGACAGAAGGAGAATGGATGGCAGAGGATGAGGTGGCTGGATGGGGCCACTGGGGCGGTGGGTGGAATCCAGGGATGGTGAAGGGCAGGACAGCCTGGAGGAATGTTGTCCGTGGGGTTGTGAAGAGTCGGGCATGACTTTGCTACTGAACAACAACACACGGCATCTGCCCAGAAATCCTGGAAGCGTAAAACCCATAATTCTTCACTGATAAACAGGACCCTGTCTTGGTGAACTGAACCTCATACAAATACTATGATAGGTTAAACCCACTGAGAGGGAGAGTTTCCATATTCTGAAAGGGCAACGTGGGTGGAGGGCTGCACAATCTCCAACTGAGCTCTAAGGGATGGGGGAGGACGGGAGAGCCTGGAGGAATGCTGTCCATGGGGTTGTGATGGGTCGGGCATGACTTTGTGACTAAACAACAACAAAATGCAGATCCATCCCAGGGAAAGAGTCCAGAGGAGGGCAACAAAGACGATCAGGGTACTGGAAACAAAAGACTGGATTAATTGGGCATGTTGAGCCTTGAGAAGAGAAGACTCGGGGAGCTGTAATAGCACTCTTCAAGTACTTAGAAAGTTGTCCCATAAACAAACCCCCATCTTCCTAGAGTGCAAGACATGGAATAATGGACTCAGGTTACAGAAAGACAGATTCTCGCTGGACATCAGGAAAGAAGTCCTGACTGCTAAAGCAGAATGGGAATGGAACCAGTGAGGGAGGTGCTGGGCTCTCTCACACTGGAGGCATTCAAGATGCAGCTGGACAGCCATCTGGTCCAAATGGTGCTACAGGACCTTTCTGACTCTACTATTCTATGGCTCAAGTGTGGCTTATGTAATAACTAGCCAACTATTACTTTTTCTTGCCTCTCCACTGAGGAGCTTACCTGGAAGCCCCGGAGGACCTGGCAGTCCAGGTAGGCCTTTCAGTCCGGGCTGCCCTGGGGGACCAGGTGGTCCTTGGTCACCTTTAACCACAATTGTTTGTCCAGCTGGGCCAGGTATTCCCGGAGCACCTAGGACAAAATAAAAAGAGGGGGAGAAATTAAAGAACACCAGTGGAACAGTTTAACTAGCTGGCCCTCTGGAGGATTCATTAACTGGACGACATAGACGAGGATGAAGAGCAGGGAGAAGATTTGCCAAGGCACGTTTCACCCAAAGGAAAAAGATTAGCAGAGTGATCTTATGGCCTCTAGTCAACATTTAGGTGGTCACAGGATTCTTCCAATTTCCGATCCAAGGTCAGAAAAGATCTCCAACCTCCAAGCTGAGGCTCCACTTTCAGACCATCGCCTGAAATTCAGTCCGACTGCTCCAAGATTTATTCTTCTCACATGGCTTTCTTAAAGACTTCACATATCTTGAAAGATTTCCCCCCTCTTTCTTGACTCAGGTTAGCTTGGGAAACAGTTCTATTGTAGCACGTGGTTCTCAGGAGATGCCTTCTGGGGTCCGGTAAGGACAGTCCCGATCCAGCGCTCACCAGATGTGCTGCACTGGTCCCTCCTGCCAGAATAATCTTTGTGGACCACTGGCGGGGGCTGAACAATGCTATAAGGTGCTGCTTTTCTCAGGCTGAGATCAGGCATCAGAAGTCAGAGGAATGTCTAGGAACACTGCCTTTTTCAGGCAGAGTATTTCGCACAGATGTTTGAGAGAATTTTGTTAAGTAGAAGGACAAATAGAGCAGATTACTAGGGGAAAGCGTTTGCACCCTCCCCAAATAATAATAATAATAATAATTATTATTATTATTATTTTAGAATAAATTGCTGTGGTTACAGGCAGTACACATATAAAACAAGCAATTGGCGCATAGAACTATCTTGCATTAAGACACGATCAATGTTAAAAGGGACATACACATGGGGCAGAAGTGGTGGAAGCACGTCTGCATTTGAGTATGTTTTGTAAGATGTGCATCCCATCTGAGCACAAGGTGAATGAGCTGCAGAAAAAGGTACTTGCGGGATCATCACTTTCAGGGCTGAAACAGACAGTACTTTAAAGGTGCAGCTGGCAGTGATGCCTCTCCTTCTCTTTTATGCAGAGTCATGCAATGACTCCAGCTTGGATTGGGGTTCTAGTCACGAGGAGTGGAGTGGACCTTTAACTATTTCTGCTACTTTGGAGTTGATCCAGATTGGTGGGGGGGGGGGGGGGGGCCGCCTAAGATTTCTGTTGCAAAATAGTGATCAAGAAAGCAAATAGATTCTGCGGAAGAAGTTGCAGGCATTAGGGCTTCTGGTCTGTATCCAGCCCGAAGAAGATGGGAAAGGACCAAAGCCCACTGATCAAATGCAACACCTACCTGGAGAACCGGGAGGTCCAGGGTCTCCTCTAAGGCCGGCTGGTCCTGGAGGCCCAAGGGGCCCCTTCATACCTGAAAGGCCAAACCCTTGCAGTGAATATACTTGGTAGAAACAAAAGATCCAGGTGCTCCCATGGCAACCTTGTTACCTATTGGTGGAGCCCCATCTATGGAACAACCTCCCCATGGTGGCCCACCTGGAACCAAACTTGTTATCTTTTCAGTGCCAGGTTCAGGCAGCCCCTTGTGCCAAAGCCTTTGGAGATTTACTGAGCTACTCAGGGGTTGGGTAGCTCAGTAAATCTTCTGGGATAGCTAACCCAGACTTCTGGAAGCCTGATTCCCCTCTCCTCTCCTTCCCACCATTCCTGGGCTTCCTGCTCCCCACCTGTGGGTTATGGCAAACATTCCCGTGAAGGCAGACACAGTGTCTTGCACCTCCACCTGAAACAGCCCAAGTGGTACCTGCAAAAGTGTCCCTGTATGCTTGGAGAACCACTGCCTCTTGCTCCTAAGATAAATGAGTGAAAACTACACCTGCAAACCAGAGCAGGCAAAGCCTTCCCTGTTGGCCAAGGTACCTCCAAGGACTTGAGCAGAGATGACACCAAGAGCCGGGGCGGGGGGGGGGGGACTGTCCGGTGTGAGGGTAACACACCTTCATGGGGCCATCGGCAGAGCTAGGAAAGGTCAAGCCCAAGACTTAATGGTCCCATGAGGGCAGACTTTAGACAGTACAACCGACAATTCTTTCCTGCCCTCAAAACTGCCTTTCCTTCCTTTGCAGTGGCGTCTACACCCTGCAGATGTTGGAATATTCACCAGCTCCACACAAAAAATAAAATACTTTGAGCATTGCACATTTTAAGCTCACTTAAATCCTGGCCTGATCATAAGAGCAGGAACAAAACAGGAGGTTGCTTCTGCTGCCCGAAGACGCTGCTCTTCTGCTGTTGTCTGGGTGATTATTGGGGGTTCTCCTGGGCTGTGAGTCCGGGACTTCGGGTTCTGCGCTCATGCACTACGACGCATGCTTAGTGGGAATGCTGCTCTACAGCACTGATTTTTATACATACCTGGGAATCCTGGAACTCCTGGCACACCAATATCTCCTTTCATGCCATTCAGACCTGGACGACCCGAATCTCCCTACAGTAACAGAATAAGGGTGATTTCTATTCCTATCAAAAATGCCACCAAAATAACGCAATTGCAAACAAACCAAGCCGCTGAGCTTTGTTAATGGGAACTTAAATGAAGGAAGCTGAACAGACTGTGGCTTGGACTTAGACACAGTTTACCTAGACCTGTTACCATCAACAGGGATGAAGTTTGTCTGGGCTCAGTTGAATTGCGTTGGGTGGTGAGCATCCATCGGCCAACGATGGTGATGACTGGCCCCTAAAGCTGACCCTCAAATAGCTCCTTGCACTGGAACATTTAGCATGCTGTCAAAAAGCTGATGAGCTGCAACAGTTATGGTGCCGACCAGCATTTTCAGCAAGTGTTTTGGGTTAGTGCTTCCAGATTTCCTGGCCATTGGTCTTGCTGTCTGAAGCTGATGCAAGTTACTCCAAAGGCACATGGTTAGGGAAGGCTGGTCTGCAGCCTTAGCTTTGTTCTTCAGCACAACCTGAATGTACTTATGATTCCAACAAAGCCTGCATGGAAACACTTTCAAGAAAACCTCAACACTCCTCTCACACCTTGCTCACACCTCACATTCAGAAGGAGAAGCAAACATATCTGTATCAGATGTTATGCTCTTTCTTTTAGAAAGATGCTCTTCCCAACTAAAGACACACAGTCCAGAAGAAGTTCCACCAAATTCAGTGAAGCTTATTTCTAAGTTAGCCTGCACAGGAGTACAGACTGAATATCTTTGTTCCGAAACCAACCCATCTTTAGAAACATTTTCTCTCCCTTCATGCACCCACCGGGCGTCCAGGTTGTCCTTGATCTCCCTTCAGACCAGGTAGTCCAGGCTGGCCGGGCTGGCCGGGGTTTCCCTTTTCACCTTTAATTCCTCCAGTTCCGGGAGGTCCACGGGCACCTTCTGGACCAGGTAGACCTTGACGTTGCAAAATAGAGGTCTGCGTGTCAGTGCAACTTGGCTGCCTTAAGTTCGCCTTTCCTAGGAGATGTGAGAGCCTGTGCGGTATAGCGGTTCAGAGCGTGGGACTGGGACTCAGGGGATCTGGGTTCAAGTTCCCACTCAGCCATGAAGGCACCACTTGGGGCCAGTCACAGACTCTCAGCCCAACCTGCCTCACAGGGTTGTTGTTGTGGGGATAAGATTGAGGGCAGCAGGAGGGGAATGATGTAAGCTGCTTTGACTTCTTTAAAAAGGGTTAGGATATGAATCAAATGCATAAATTTGGGCAAGGGCCTGTGAAAAAGATGCACCCCCATGCCTAGGGTGGACAGACCTGGCTACAGAGGGGTACTGCCATCTCCCCACCTCAGCAGACAAGCTTGGCTTCCGCAAAGGAAGTGTGGCCCGAGCCAGATGCTGGACCGCACACCTCCAACGATCACTAGGAATAAGAACATCTGTGCAACCTGCGCTCCTCAAGTCTCAACCTGAGGCCATATGAGATTGCAAGCTCCTCTCCCCTCATTCCCACAAACGCTGGAACACGGTTTGGCACACATTTCCCCAAAGGTACGTTGTTGCATGCATTTGTTGAAAAGTAGAGTCTATTCAGTTATAAGTACAGGATGTTGCTCTCATCTGCAAAATGCCCTGCAGGCTTGGAAATGTGCAGACTTAAGACCAGAATTCAGGAGGTGCAAATTGGATAACATCTGGATTAAAGCCAAATGAAATTATTGTCTCATCCACCCTTAATTACGACACTGAGTCGCCTGGTTCCAAATCCCGCGTTCTTTACATAATGCATACCAGGCAGAATGCTGGAAATGTTTTGCAGATGGCATGTGAGGGAAAGAAGATCATGATCAAATCTGGATACGTGTGTTGACATTTTCAAACATTTCATATTTTCATTTTCATCATTTGTGTTGGGGGCACTATACGGTGCAAGGAGATTTTTTCCCTTTTGATTCAGCTGAAAGGAATGTAGTTGAGCAATGCCACTGTCATGGGCAAATGATACGCTTCGCAACACGCAGGCACACAGTGATGGGAAGGGTTGCGTTCGACTGGACACACCTCCGTGTTTATACCACTCTTATTAATTTCATTGGGAGGCACATACAGAGGTGAGGTTGTCAATGGATTGTCCCCATTCATTTTCAGCCACACAGATACATATAAAGCCATCATAAGGTGGTAAATGATTACAAAATGTCATTTCTATTTTAAAATTAAGAACAAGCATGAAAGTAAGTGATGCATTTCATTACATAAATGTGTGGCACAAAATAAGACATGGAAGACAGATATTGCTGATCTACTGAAACATTAAACTAATATTCCAGATGTCTCCCTTGTGCAGATTTTCACATTTTGTCTGTGCAAATACTGTCAAATGGATATCATAATAATCAAGTTTAACTTCTATAACCACTTTAAGTTCAAGATTGATCATGGTATCATGACTTGAAAAGACATCAAATAAAGCAGTCTTCACAATAGCTTGGGGAATTGACCATGTATACCAAATAAAAATAAACTCCCTAACCCAGTTTTTATTTTTAATATCACAAAGTTTGTGCAAACCAGAAAACATTTTGGAGGACAATTTGGACATATAATCCACCTTTTAATCTGTATGAACAATGCAGCTATGGAAGGTAATCACAATTCTTAAAAGGCTAGCAAGGTTTGGATGTAACAATAAACAATGGTTTAGCATTATGTGCAGTTGTGTTGGAGGAGGAGAGGAGGGGAGAGGGTACAACTGCAAGGAGACCAATAGGAAGCTTTTGCTTCTGTTTTCAATTAACCACAGTTTAGCACTATGCCTGAACCATAAACTGTGGTTAATCTTAATTACGGTTTATTGAAATCAACCAGTTTCATAAACCATGATTTGAACGTGGCTTGCTTCAGTAAGCCATGGTTACAACTGGCCAGGTTTGGACATCATGCTAACTTATGGTTAGTTAAAGTTGAAAGTTATTTCCTTTTTAAGACCTCACAGAATGACTGGGTAAGGTGGGAGAATGCAAATCAGAGACTTGCCTGAGCTTGTTGACATAATGATAAATCACAGTTTGTTATGTCTGACACAGCCGATGTCTCAGTCACAGTCAAAATAACCACTTCAAACAATGAATGCAATGCAGTAAAGCAAACTGACCAACTGAAGACTCTAACCTGGAGGCCCTGGAAGGGTCAGAGTTCACCAAAGCCCAATGATCGATGTTAGGGGGGATAGCAGACACCACACAAAACAAGATGACTCGTTAGAAGTAGCACAAACGAGATATTGATACTAAACAGTGAAATCCATTTCACCAGCAAATTTTTGCATTTCAAAGACTGAAACATGCATGCATCCAGCAACCAACCCCCATGTCAATGTACATACTTATCTGTATCATATAAATTTTAAATAAAACTAATTCCAGTGGCTAGGCTGCTATAATCAACCTGAGGCAATCCATGACATCCCAAGCATAGTTGAAATTTTGGTCTTAACACTGCAACCTGAGCCTTTCTCCCCGCGAGGTTCCACGCAAATAGAGAGATGGGCTATCAGGGCAACCATTTCACTGACACTGCTGCGTAAGGGGCAACTGGCTGAAAGAGCTGGTGGTCTGCATTTTCTTCTACTTTCATTGATGAGTGGGGATGATTCCTGTGGAAGGGCCACCCAAAAAACCTACATGTCCCGTTTGGGCAGTAAAATGATTTCAGTCCTGCTTTTAGGAATCAGGTGAAGGGCAAAACTTAGTGAAAAATAAAATAGGAAATGGGAGCATTGCTACAAAATTATTCATAGAGCAAAAAAAAATGGATGTTGTTATTCATTATTCTTGAAAGTTCTTCATTAACTCACAACAAAATCCTATGCATGTTTATTCAGAAGCTAGTCTAGATGAATATGGGATTTAATTCCAGCTAAGCTTCCATATAGCCTGAAATGCCTGATCCTGCCTAATCTTGGGAGCTAAGCAGGATCAGGCCTGGTTAGCATCTGGATGGGAGACGTGAGTGCTTTGTTCAGCGGAAGGTTGGACCCATTGGCCTTATAAGCCCCTTCCAACTGTAGGATTCTATGATTTCTAAGTGTACAGAAGGAAGAAGCCTCAGTAATCAACCATTCAATCAATAGCGTGTTTTTAGGCCACAGATTTCTCCACAGATTAATCTTCATTTATTTGTGTACTAGCAACTTTTACAAGAACATTATAAATTCGGTCACGGTTGTTTTCCCTTATTGCAGGCTGGGGGCCGAGACAATACCAGCTTACCTAGGACTGCATACTGTGTTCCATAGCTGATATTTGGTTTGGGGACTTTCTAACTCACAACATACAGCATAGGCCAAATTACACAGTTTTTGAAACTGTCATCTCTTTAGATAGAGATCAGTCACAAGAAGCTGCAATCTGGAGCAGAGAAGGACCAGGCAGTGGGACCCTTTTCTCATCTGCCCATTCCACGTTGCCTCTCACCCACCAAGCTAAGTTTTCTTCTGCAGGGAAAGGATATGGTGTTCCCACAGCTAGGGACAGTGTGCTTGGGTGGGAAAATGGGCCAGAGGAAAGGGTTAAGCACGGTCCCCTTTGCTCCTTTTTGCCTACAGTTCCATGGATGCTTCAAGTATTAGCTAAGCTCTTTCAGGCTGTAGGCCAAAACATCTGGATGGGCAGGAATTGTCCACCCTTGTTGGCACATGTTCTCTGGCCTCCAGAATCTGAACTTCTCTAGTCCTCTTACACAATGCCTCCTATATGTTTACTATTGCTACGTTAGCAGAGGAACGCTCTGCTTTTAGAGTTTAAATATTCCTTTGGATTTCAGGGTAGGAGTAGGTTAAAGTCATGCCCTCATCACAGAACATGTCAGTGAAATGTTTCAAAAATATACATCTCCCATGCAATAATTAACCTTAAACCAGCGTATATGCATGCATAGGTTTTCTCTAGCTTGCTCTTTTCTCTACATTGTTCGTCAAGCATAGTGCATTAATACTAAACAAAGAATAAGGCTAACAAGAATATTCTTCTGTAAATTGGAATGCAAGTTTTGCTATGAACTGAAGTATGGAAAGTCCAGTGGCACTCAGCTACCGAATATAAATACATAAATATGATCCCTTCGTTCTTTAATGTTTTGATTTAAAATCAGACTGCGGATTTAATGAACCATAACTACTTGCCATATTACCGTAACATCTAGATTTTAAAACAGTTTCTTTGGCCACACTTCTGATGATTTGCTTCTCAGAAGCCAGGATAGCAAAACTTCCAAGACATCATCTTAATCTGAATAATACTGAGGTGTATGCCAAGTCATTCCTGTATGGAAAACCTCTGAAAGTATTATATTTGGGCATGACTAAGACTCCATAAGTGAAGCAGCAATGCTCAGTGAAATTAGAACCGAGATTAGAAGAGAAATTAGAACCGCTGGGGCAAAAGCCTTTCTCACAGCACCATTCCTTTGCATGGATATTCAGATGTCCTAATGATCTTATTCCTCCTAGGTACGTGTGCATAGGAATGCACGGCATGTTGCGATTTTGGGATTCCCTTCCAAGGGAGGTGTGACTGACACCCACGTTACCTTGCTTCCAGCGCCAGGACAAGACTTGTTAAAATTTACTCTGTTTTTGGATTCTGACTATTGATCTTGCTGCTGGTTTATTGTTGTATTGGTTGGTTGTTCTATTGGTTGTATTGTGTTTAGCACCCCAGAGCTGGCATTGCTATAGACCTGGACCAGTGCCCTCTGGAGGACAGGAGCCAAGGCCGGCTCACCCGCCTGTCCACAGAAATCCCATTGTGAGGCCGTCCGACACTGCCAGGGGTGGTTCCCTCTGATCTCCCCTAGAGGAGGAGCGTCTATTCTCCCTACGCACATCCCAGCATGACTTCTCTCTGCCACCAGCGGTCAGTGGGCCACCATCCTAAGCCCCTCCAGCACTGACATCAGGCAGGGTGAGGTCCCATTCACATCCTGCTTTCTAGCTAGCATTTTGGTTCGGTTCGGTTCCAGCAGATTTGCAAAAGGTGTGTATAAAGTTTTGAATTTTTTTGGCTGGTATGTGTGTCTGTATTAATAATCCACTTCCTTTTAGATAGATGGGAAATAGCTTGACAGTTAGGAGCAAAGTAGGAATAAGTCAATTTTCACAATGGATGCTAGTGAAGAGCCCTTTGGAGACTAGTGCTATTTATTTGTGAATGATCTGGAGTTAGGGTTGTTCATTCCATCAAAATAGCACGAGGAAGGCATCTTTCCAAGTCAGCAATCAGAACACATGTGTATAACAAGGTTATGCTACTATGCATTCATAATGTACTGTATAGATTTTGCACGTTACAATGATACAGAATTTATCAAGGCGGTACTGGTATAGCTACTGGCCTGAAGCTGGTGCCCACCAGACTTCAACTTATTGGTTTTTGGTTGTATGCATGTCAACACCTGAAGAATATTTTCCAGCTGAGCAAATCTACCGAATAAAGGGATGCAATTCCCATCAGCCACAGCTAGGATAGACCATGGCCAGGAATGCTTGGAGTTGTGGATGAAAGCATCTGGAAAGCACCAGGCCGTCGTCTAGTCTCAGAAAGCTTTAAGTTCTATACTCAAATGTATTACTTGGCCACATTGCTTCCAAACTCATGGTACCATTTTGGTACTGCCATGAGTATAGCAAAGTGAGGCAAGAATCTGCAGGACACAGACTTTCTAAGGGGACCCATAACCAGCCTCCTGCATTTGGTCATATCTCCTAATTGCTACTTTCTGTACTACAGTGATGTAAAATTAATGACTTGGCATACCCATTCTAGAGACAGAGACTTTTTTTTCAAAGGAGGACATTCAAGTTCATGCATGCAAAGTTATTACACTGGAGTTAATAATCTAACCTGTGGCACCTGGAAGTAGGGATCAAAAGTTCACCAAGGCCATCATTAGAAGGGGGAAATATCAATATGGTTAGGTATGTCAATAAACTATACATTTTCATGGTGATCTATCTAAAATACCTTTCTGTATATTATGTATAGACCAAACTGTTATAACAATGCAATTCCAGGTATGTCTACTCAGTAGTAAGCCCCACTGCCTTCAACAGGATTGACACCCAAGTAAAAGCATATAGGATTGCAGCCTAAAACAATTCAATTAAAATAGTCAATATTTTCCCGTTTGCAGTGGAGAGTCCATCAAGGAATTCTCACATCAAAAGCAAGCCATGTTGGGACTGGAGAAACTTCTCAACTGAAAAAGCTCATCCGCTCTCTCTTTGGTGGCCAATTGTCTTGCGGTGTCCATGCTATGGAGATGGCATTTCACCCATTGCAGGCTATTTAGAAAGACTAGAAGAACTGACTTGACTAGCGATAACAGTTTGGTCTGCACATATCAGTACATGCACGATGGAGTGAGATGAACGCTCCATATTGTGCAGTATACATGCAATACAAACCAAGATGGGGGCAAAACCACCGAGCAGTTACTGGCGTTTTCCCACTAGAGATCTTCGGAAACTCTCTTCCAAGCTTCTGTACAATTGAAGTTAGTCAAGTGGCTATTGGTGAGAGGAACTTTCCTCCTCATGGTATGATGCAGTTTTTACCCGTATTTGTGAACCACCTTCAGAGTTGGAATGCCGAAATGCACATCTCTTAGAGAAGCGAAGAGATCTGTGGGTGTTGAAAAACTTAAGCCGACAAGCACATTAGTGCTTCTACTACACAACTCATTCCATTTCTGATAGAAAGGAACAAAGAGCTCCTGCTGAAGTCTGACTCATTAACTTCTGCCTTCCCTGCTCTGCCTACTCTTGTTTAATGAGGTTCCATTGGGTTTTGCCCCAACATTTTTGAACTGCAATGGCCAAAAACTGAATTCTTGTCACCAAAACCTAGATCCCATCTGTATGGCATCACTTTCAATGCTGGATGATTAATCAAAGATGCTTCACGCATAGGTCAAAGAACCTCACAGAACAAACAGACCTGTGAATTAAGAGGCCAGTACAACTGGTCCATTTGCAACCATCCTTAAGCTGTTCCACTTGGTCTATTTTAATGTAGGGCTTAGGGGCATACGTGGCACAAAAGGTATACCAGATTTCTGTGGGTGGGTGGGAGGCTGCCAAAAAATGTCCTGGTCACCATGCAGATTTTATCAAGATACCCAATAACGGCTCAGTGGTGTTCTCCCACAAGAGAAAGTTTCACTCCCAGAATTAGTACAGAAACAGACAGCAAACAGGACGATGGATGGATGGGTGAAGATGACGTGGTGGTGCACCGAATCCGCTGGAGCTGTGGATGGAGCAAGGATGAGCATACACAATGTATGGATGAAGGAAACCATGATACGATCTGCTCATGCCGTGCCACTAACATGGACTGGAGTTCCATGGGTCCTGTGGGCAGTGCGCATAATTACGTTTGTGCACAGGATGGATTGGTTTATCACATGGCGTCATGGTGCAGGCATATTTGGCAGATGCTATTAAATTCGATTGGGTGCTCGGCCAGATGATTGCCGTGATGTCATGCGGAGGCCATCTCAAGTTGGCAAAATTTGCTGGCAGGTTATCGGTGGCTGCTGTTGGGTTTTCTCTCTTGAAATTGCTATGTCTGGAGCACCTTTCTGTGACGAATTAGCGATACCCAGAAGGCAATGGGTGAATGTCTTGTCATGACATGTGGAATTACTCAACAGACCAATCAGTGAGTCAGTCTGGGTCAACAGACCAATAACCTGTCAGCAAAGTGTTCAGAGTATGGATCTTTCTCTCTCTTACCTGGCCTCCCTGGTATGCCTGGTGGCCCAGGGCTACCCTTAGGTCCTTCGGAAGGTAGTCCAGGGGGTCCTGGAGGGCCTGGTGGACCTTGACGGCCGGGAAATCCCTCTGTGCCTGTCTCCCCCTTCAAACCAGGTGCTCCGGGGGGCCCGGGAGGTCCAGGTAAGCCAAAATCACCCTTCTGACCTGTTTAAAAGCACAAGAGAGACATTTACTGCTACCATAGCATTCAATTCCTCCTAATGCAGATAAAAGGGTGGTCCAGGATAACTCTCAGCGCCTTGGTAACCATGCATCAGGTCTGCCCATTCCTAACCTGTTATAACCTGTTATAGAAATGTTATAATAATAATAATAATAATAATAATAATAATAATAATAATAATAATAATAAGCAGGACTGGGCATCTTCAGGCAGAGGACCGGTAGCTCTGAATTCCCTGCCCTGATGCCTAAGTTTGGGACTTCCTACACTGAGCTGGAAGGTAGACGAGATGGCCTACAAGGTATTCACCAACTCCATGGTTCCATGTCAGAGGCTGTGTTCACTTTTTGTTTGGAGGAGAAGCTGAGCAGAGGACTTTGGCCATGATGCTTGGGCAGGTTCAACCCAACCTGATATTAAACTTGAGGATCACAAGGGATGAGCTCTGAGATCCCATGTCAGGAGCAGTCTCACCCACAAAGTCTTATCTATCATTACTTTTGATTCCACCTTAGGGGAAGAGAGCACCTTAGGAATCTAGGGGTGACACAATACAGGTCAGCCTGTTTTGTCTATCAAGCTCAGTGCTGCATGCTCTGATTGGCAGTATCTCTCCAGACCACAGGCTGAGTAAGGCAATGCCTTTCCCATCATCTATCTGATCCTTTTTGCCTTAAACTGGAGAACCTGGGACCTTTTCCATGCAAAGATATGAGTGTTACATGGCGTTATGAGTTCTGCTGTCCACCGATAAAAGAGAAATAAACTTTGCCTGGTAATCCTGGGAGTCCTGGAGGTCCAGGGCGGCCAAAACCGGGTTGACCTAAACAACATGATCATCAAAGATGAGTTAATTTTTGTACATCTATGAACACAATACTTGATAATAGAAATCACCATTTTAGATAGAGGTAAAGCAAAACAGAAACAGGCAAGGTGGTGCTCACCTGTTTCACCCTTCTGCCCTGCTGGCCCAGGAATGCCATCCCTCCCAGGCTGTCCTTTCTCCCCCGGAGAGCCTGGGGAACCAGGGTGCCCAATGTCACCTGAAAATGATAAAAGAAAACATGATCCAAGCATTAGGTATTCTGCCTGTCCCCCACACACGCAGACCGAAGAACTACCAAACAAAAACACTGCTGCCAGACAGTGATGACTGTACTGGCTAGACCACCAATGGCCTGACTCAGAAGACAATTTCCTATGCTCCTTCCTCCCTTCCTAAACTGCTAGAAATGCACTGTGTTACCACTTACTTGACCTTGCCCTCCTCAGGATGATTGGAATCCGGTGGCCACAGTCTAGCTGGTGAGCGCCATTTTGGTTTTCTCCAATGCCCTACAACCCTGAGGCAGTGTAAGATCTCAGCGTGTGACTTGAAGAAAGAGCACTGAGACTTCAGTCCCAAATAGCTTGGCACTTGGCTCTTCTCAGCACTCAGAGGCGAGGAGTGCTAACTAGACTTCTCACAATGAAAAATCGCTTAACTCCAAGATGATTTGAACAGACAAAACAGCAGCAGGAAACAGATTTTACAGCTCTTCACACATACCTGGAGGCCCAGGTGGTCCTGGAACACCTGGATTGCCTGGAGGTCCATCAATACCTTTTGGTCCTGAAAGACCTGGTGTCCCTGTAAAAGCAGAGCTGTAGCTTAATAAACAAAAAGTTTCAGTTGCAAAATATCATGGAAATTGCACCCTGTCCCCGTGAATTAGAGCCCCTGGTACAGACACTGAAAAGAAGGAAAGACAAACTACCAGAAAGTAAACTGCACAGACAGACACAGGCACAAACACTTGGCATGCTATAATATCGGAAGAAGTTGGATAGGACAGAGAGGACAAAATTTAAGGTCCAGGGAGGTCTTTTGAATGAGAAATGGGACATCTTTGAAACTTAAAAATTACACGATCCACGATCCACGATCAATGAGAAGCATGGTCCTGATCCTGCCTGCTAGGTAAGGGTGGGCAGCCTGGCAACCTCTGGGTGTTTTGGACTACAACTCCCATAATTCCTGATGATTGGCTACACGAGCTGGGTTTCTGGGAGTAGCAGTACCAGACATGTTTTCATAGGTCTGCCTTCATGGAGAAGGCAATCCTGCTAAGGAAAGTCAAAGGCAGAAGAAGACAGGGAAGCTCAAATGCAAGATGGATTTATCTAATAAAGTTTGCGAGAGTTGAGCTGGGCTGTCAAGGCCAGGACATTTTGGAGGGCTCCCATTCATAGGGTTGCCATGAGTTGGAGATGCCCTGACCACGCGTAACAACAATAACACAATGGTGCAGCTGCAGAATCCCATTAGTGTGGCACGGAGAAATTCCTCTCCCAAACGTTTTGACAACATAGCAGGCCGACATGTCTGAAGCCCAGTGTGAACCAAAGCAGAGCCATTTCTGGAAAATGGGATTGGGGTGGTAAAACTTGCAATCAGGAGCAGGTCCCACTAAGGCAACTTGAGTGGCACATGCCAGAAGTTGCCAGCAAAGCTAGACCCAAGGAAAGATGATCCACCATGGCCCTCCTCCTCTCCACCATGGGCTCGCCCTTCACTCTCATCCACCAAAATGGCTCCCTCCAACATCGGTCCTTTTCTGCCCAGTGATAACTGGGTTAAAGCCAGAATGTGAAAGGCAAGAATGACCGCTGTAATAACAGGAGGGAAAGTGGATGAAAAGAAACATGTCTTTTAATTAACTCCACCCCATTGATCCAATGATGTCCACAGCACTCAGTCCCATCAGATAAGAATGAAAGCAATTAGAAGAAGAATTACCTGTTTCAGGATCCAAAAGCAAGAGAGCATGCAGGGAAACAGAAGGAGTGAGCATCAAATTAAGGGGCAATTAATTACCTGGGAATCCAGGGAGGCCGGGTTCACCTTTTCCACCTGGGTTGCCAGGTAAACCAGGCAAACCGGCACTGCCAGGACTCCCTTTAATGCCAGGGTTCCCTGGAAAGCCAGGCAAACCGGTGTCTCCCTAGAAACAAAACAGCAAAGCATTTAGGTTCAGCAAGACCACCCTCCACAAAGTGCATGGCCATTTTGGACCAGTAGGAGTGGCCACTGGAATTCGGGGAGACTTGGGTGAAGAGCTGGACCGTGGCCACCTGCGAAGGCTTTCCACCTCTCTCTGCCCACGCTGTGATGGGTACAGCCAGCAGCTGGTTCCACCACAGCAGAGGAGCTCCATGTATGCATTGGCGCACTCAAAACATTTTTGCCTGGGGCAAGTGATGTAAATCAGGACATTGGCCAAGCGTGCTGCAATCCCACCATCTAAAAACGTGCACTTCAGAAAAAGTAAAGTTGCACACTGCATCCATTGCAGTAAGAGTATTTGCTGGCATGTCTTAATGTTGCAAGAAATGCTCTGCTTCTCTAAGTCAAAAGAATTTTTGCAAGGTTCTGCAACCTGGTACTTGGCATGGAAACAATGCTCCGCCCCAGAAAAAGGCATTTTGACAGGACAACATACCTTAGGGCCAGGAGGACCTGGAATCCCAATGTCTGAACGGCCTGGATCACCCTTGTCTCCCTTCAGTCCAGGGAATCCAGGAGAACCTGGCTGGCCAGGACGTCCTGATAAGCCTTGTGAACCTTTCACACCTGCGGGACCTGCCCAAAATAGTTAAAAAAAAGTTATGCAGCAGCTTCAAAGAGCTCATATTGTTCCCAACATACCAGAAAGAAATAGCAAGGAAGAGAACTTGTCAAAACATCATGTTTGCAATGGAAGGGAAACAACCTGGATAATGAAACTGACAGTGCATGTTCCATATATTGCTTTGAAATGGAAAGACAACATCATTAAAATGGTTTGCAACCACAGTTCAAGAAAAATATCAATGCTTTTGAACTCATACACAAGAGATGCCCTCAAACTATCTCCACCCCCAACAAACATTGTCAATACTGCTGTTCTGTCTCCAGAGTATCTTATATAGTATGTAGTCTTTAACTGCACTTTGTCACCAGGGCATAGATGACCATGCCCAGGAGGACTTTGCCTGGAAGAGCTGCAGGTAGCAAATGATCTCTCAAGCCATGCTGGCCATTTGGGCTTCCAAAGGCAAGGATGGACCTGAACGCAGTCGCCCAGGAGCACATCTGGGCCCTCAGGGAGAGAGCAGCCTGCCCTGAAAAGATCAAGTTCCTCCTGAGCGAGTCAAACCACTCATCTTGTCTTGACTGAGCCCCATCTTGTCTTGATCACCAATGAGGATCTCCTGAGCAGCAAAATTGGCTTACAAAGGAGTCTATAAAAAAGGCCTGAATCAGGACCAAAGTACCACCTTAGCCTCAGGTGCCTCATCTCCCAACCCAACATTCAACCAAACAGCAAGCTTATTTTCCAAAAAAGTTTTAAATAACTACCTGGAAGCCCCATTTCACCACTGGAACCTTTCAGTCCGGGGGGCCCAGTTGGTCCGGGAGGCCCAGGAAAACCTACATCTCCCTTGGAGCCTAAAGAAAATATAATTTCCACAAACAGTTTGATGGCAGAAACTAATTTCCATCAGTAAATTCCCTCAGATTTATGATGGTGCTAATTATAACAGTAAGACTGGAATCATGCAATACAGTGACTTTTTTTTTTTTACAAAGCTGACATGCAAGATTAGTGACCATTCTGAAGAATACTATCTTCCCAGGTTTGCAATGCTTACTCCCTGTATTGGGAAAGAAACTCTTTGTAATTCTTGCTTGGCAACTCATCAGCATGAACTGCATTGTTTTCGGCACAGCTCACTTATCACATCCCACCAGTTCAGAGATAGTTGTCAAGATCTCAGGTCATTTCTTTGCATGGCAATGTATTATGCTCTCAAAGCTGGTGTTTCAGCCCTTGAAAGAGACAAGCCTGGAAAAACAGGAAGCAGCCTCCTGTGGAGTCAGACAAGGATCTGCCTAACTTCATATTGTCAACATTTCCAGCAACTTGTCAACCAGGATCCTTTCTGAGCTATACCCAGAGACACCAAGATTGAACCTGGTTCACCCTGGTTTCCCAGTGTGTTTTTGTAGGAAGGAGGAAACCTACTATGTTGATACAACATCCTTGGTTGAGGTCACTCTCATATTTTCATCCAATGCATCTTTCAATGAATTGCCATGCATTTATCAAGCCAGCTGCTCCATCTGCCCTCACCTGGCAGGCCGGGTGCACCTGGCTGCCCAGGTAGTCCTGGAGACCCCGCGTCACCTGGAAGGCCCTGGTAACCCTTCTGCCCAGTTAAACCAGGAGCACCTTCAAGGAAAGAAAGGGACAGAATGAGTTCTATTCATATATAGGAGCATTAGCCAAGCAGAAAAGTGCATAAGTCAGGCTACAGGCCATTGTGTATAGGTCATAAATCCAGTGGTACCAAGTGCAAATGCACCCAACCAAAGACAGATGCTCTTCTCTCAACTATCCCCACAGCCAAACATACCTTTCCACCAAAAGAAGAGATCTGCTTCCGCCAAAGGGGCTCCTTTTGCAGGCAAGGGTAAATGGGGGCTTTGGAGCCACAAAGGGCTGGAGATTCTGGAAACGAAGACAGAGGCCCTTCTTCTTACCTGGTTCTCCTGGCTCCCCTTTCTCGCCTTTGGAGCCTAGCCGGTCTAGGTCAACTTTGCCTGGGAGGCCCGGCAGGCCGGTTTCACCCTTGCTGCCCTTTTGTCCTGGAACTCCCGAACGGCCCGGCTGGCCAGGTGCACCATCGTTGCCTAAGAGGTATCCAAGCACAAGAGAAGACACCTCCAGTGCAGGAATCATTGCAGAGATTTACAGTTTCCAAGATAACCTATCGAGATGCTTTTCAGATTGTCAAACAGCTGGCGAAATCCCAACCACATGAGAGACCCATCAGCTCCTTTGTATTAATGATCTGTGGAGCAAAATTAGCACATGGCCACACACACCGACAGGATGTTGGAATTTGCTCTGTCCGTGTTGCATGGGCTGCCATTCATATTTTGCTCCGTCCTGCACTCATTGATGGAATCTGATTGCACAGTTGCACTGGTCGCGTTTGTGAATACGCATTAGTGCTAATCCACACTTGCATAACCTTTCCCCTCATCCCACAAAGTAAAAACTGGCCAGTATGTCTGTGCATTTGACCTGATATTCAAGCATTGCATTAAATCAACGATAGAAAAGTGAGGAGAAACATACACCTTACCTTTGGGGCCTGGAAGGCCAGTTCTACCAACGCCTCCACCAGGACCTTGGGGACCAGGAGCACCCATCATCCCCATCTCGCCTTTAATACCTAGATGAAGGGAATCACCCGTTTTATTCTCAGTTGACAAGACAGTAAGGGAGAAAGCTTTTTTGAAGAAGGGGGTTTTCTTGGCTTGGCTCCCAGAGTTCAGCCTGCTTTTCCCTGCCCTAAGGAGCATGTCTAACACTTGCATTTTATAGCAGGGCTTGCTCGTGTACACACTGGCCTCATGGCTGCTGTGCAAGCAGCGTTTTGCTTCTGCACATGTAACTTGCAGGCCTTTGTGTACTGTATTAGCTTCGCATCCATATACTGTGGGTGACAGTGGAGAATCGCTACAAGGATTGCATATCATCAGGAGAAACCAATTTGCAGATTTGAACCTGGCTCAGCTCTCTGCCCAGGTCAGGACCAAGCTTGGGAAAGAAGTTCAGAAAGCACAAGAGATTCGGCTTCTGGGAGGATGTTCGCACCACTATCCTGGAATTTACCTGGAAGTCCAGGTGAGCCATCTCGTCCAGGCAGTCCAGGTGAACCTGGAGGGCCAGGGACACCAGGTGATCCGGGAAATCCTGGGATGCCTCTGTCGCCTGGAGGTCCAGGAATGTCAAATCCTGGTGGACCAGGATCTCCTTTCTCTCCAGATGCACCTTGCAACCCTAGGCAGTTTATTAGAGAAGCACGAGTCAGTGAGGGAGTTTCCAGAAGAGGCTGGGCCTATCTGGATGGGCAAGTGGTGGCCCTGTGCTCGATGCTGGAATCCCCGCACTACCATGTCGGTTTGCTGGCCACTTGCCCTTGATTCAGCATAACCTGCAGCCAAGCAGAGCAGTGAAAACCAGGTGTTTTACACAACTCTAGGAATGAGGAAGCCTGCCTTTATATCACAATTCTAGGAATGATGAAGTCTGCCTGTGATATAAATATATTATAAATATATAATATATACTATTATATATTTAATATCAGTACTACATAATAGTAATAAGCACAACTCACATCATCCACTATCTCCAAGAGAGTTGCTTATAAAAATAAAGAAATAAAATATTACGTAGAGTTGCTTATAAAAAGAAAGAAAACAGCAAACACCCAATACATTTAGGGGAAGTAAGTGGGGAAAAGGATTGGATGAAGGAAACCACAGTACCTGGTGGGCCTGAGAGGTTGAAAAATCATCATGGTAAGAATTCATCATGAAGTTGAGACGTGGGAAATTGTAAGGTGTAGAAAGAATGCCGTTAGGGTTAGGATACAAAAGCAAGCACATTGAAATTAGACCAAAATCCTCGGTAAAAAGATGCAGTCTGCAACTGACCGCATTGACAGAGCAACCGTTGAATAAACTCAGCTGAAATCCCCAAACTCAAGCCTAATGCCACAGTAGGCAACATCTACTAAAAGAACTCGGATTGTGAGTAGACTTGGTTGAAACGTTTTCCAATGAGCAGCTAGTAACTAATTCCAGTTTCTGGAGAAAGGCAAAAGAATTTTGTATACAGGAATTCCAAGGAAAACAGAAACTTGAGATGCCTTTCATTAATTTAATTTAATAAAGCAGACGAACACTTTTCTGCTTTCCAGTTAGAGTGCTTAATTCCGCAGCTGTGCATTCTAAATTACTGGAGCGATTCACCCTCACGTATCTTAATTTGTTTGTTTGTTCTGCAACACAGATGAGTTGCAACAGCCTTCCCAAACAAGCCTTCCCTGTATGCTAAACCGCAGCTCTGTCACTGTGCACAAATTGGGGGAGGCTGGTGCACCCTAAATCTGACTCAATGGTGATGGGTACAAAGGAAAATGTGAACCAAGCCAACTGTTTCAGGATGCAAGAAAACAAGGATCAGGTTAAGGTTACACGACAACCATCAGAGAGAAATAAAAGCAAACGGGTGAGCAGCTGTGTGAACACTGACAATTCGAGATGGTTAGTGCTGATTTGTTAGTACTCCCTCCAGCGATACACCGCATTCCCCTAGTCTAGAAAGAACAGCTGTGCTAGAAAGTGCAGTGGGAAAAGCAAAAGATGCATCCGTGCAGCTCTTGAGAAGCAGACAGAAATGCTAGATCCGAGAGTAAAGGGATCTATGCTTTTCCTCAAGAATTACACAGTGGAACACTTCAGGAAACTGGCAAACAGGTGCAGTGGAGGCCACATGGCATATGGGGACATGTTCATTCAAAGCAGACAGAGGTGCACCTGAGATGCTCAGGCTTGTCATGTGGGGAGGGTCTAAATATGGGCCAGGAGATCAGAGCAATCTCAGAAAGACCCACTTCCGGCTCCAAGAGAAAACATAATCACTTGGGGTGTTGTTCCAGGAAACTGCTCTAAAAACTGTCGCCCACTTCTCTCTAGCCTGAGTTGCTCCAGATGGGTTGGACCACAGCTCCCATCATGACTGGAGATGATGGAGTTTGCGGTTTGTCCCATCTGGTGGAGGAAAAAGGCTGCCCTGATCAATTCAACTGGTCAACTGCATGTTGACTTGACTTCTTAACTTGGAAGGTTCCTAGGGAGGTAAGGACAAGTTGGAAGAAGTATATAGAGAAATAGGAATTGGAGGAGGTAACCATGTGGTGCCAAGTGGCCTTCTGTGGAGTGAGAAATAACAACGACAAATGCAGATTGTTGCTGTTATCTGTTATTAATATTTCCTGCCTTTTTTCCTCCAAGGAACCCAAATTGGCTGGAAGAGACTAGGTCCACCTCTCCTGAAATGCAACCTTCTAAGGTTGTGGCTGGGGATGCGTGAGGAATCTGTTTCTTTTGGATTCCCTGGGTTCGGCTCCCCAGACTTCCCACACTTATGGGTCCAAGTTCCGGGTGGGCATGTCCAGTCTTTGTACAGCACGCACCAGGAAGTGAGTCCAGATTGACTGCTGTGCAAGCATGGCAGCAGCTGTTGGTTGTGCTGGTAGAAGGTTGTTGGTTGCACAACCTCCGATCTGCAAATGTTCAAGGGCTTCCTTTCTGCTCAGCTCACTTTCCAAGGAAGGGTCAAGAAGGAGAGGATGTCTGTGAGTGATCGAGGGACAGGTTCCTCAGAACATTGACACATCCCTAGTGGTGGCCTCTTCTCATTCTCATGTTCCTTTTAGCCTGTAAGCAGGGACTGTCTGTTCTATCATCTGCCTGGGGAGCATTTAAGACTTTGGAGAAGCATCACAATACCTCAGATAAACAAACTGTGTCCAACCAAAGTTGCTAATTGACCCCCCTGCCTGAGCACTTCTGATATGGGAAAATGCACGTGCACCTACCCCATCGGAGAGACTTTTGCAGACACCAACTATTTCTTTTCATCTTCTTTCCCCCCAGCCAAGAATGCAAGAAAGTTTGAGCCAGGCATTTTCTTTTTAAGTGTACGAAATAAGGAATACAATCGGTATAGGAATCAGTGCCTGATGTTGGATGCATTTTGCAAGAGGGTGCTGGCCATACAATAAGGTCTACACCTAAATGGTTTTGGTACAGGTGGATAACACACAGTCTTGCATGACACTGGTGTACACCTCCACAATAAAGATGTGGTGGATTGTGGTCGTGCAATACAGCAAGAAAGGTGTGCACAGTGAGGGTCCAACCATGTTCTTATAGCGCTTTGCGTGAGTTGCGCCGAGGAACATCGGACCACATTCCCAAGGTGTCTTATCACTGTGTGGATTTAAGGGCTGTTCAAACAAGTCGTGATCTGCATGGGAGTGCTGCAGGAGCATTGCAGAAAAGGTGTAAACACACACACATGGCTATTATTCTCAGGACTCTTAGAAGTGCAGGAACACCATCATGGGAATGGGTGCTACCACCAATGCAAAAAAGGAGGAGAACACTTGGCATATGAGAATATACTTTATTAGGCCCAGTGTTCTGTGGCTGGCCCATGATGTTTGGCTGCCTGAGGCAAAAGGCAAAATGGCGCCCTCTTCCAAAAGTTGCATGGTCCAGTGCGAGGGATTCGGCAATGCTTTCCGCCACACCTAAAAGCAGGAGGCTGCTCATGAGGCCCACCACTCTCCCTGCAACATCTTTGCAATGGCCCAGAGTTCCTTGCAAGTGCCCCTTTCCCATGTCAGGTGCTGCCGCCATTTGAGCAGCCACAATGGATGCTAAAGAAGAACGGCAGCAAGGGCTCACCGGGAAAGGAGCCCTGCCCAAGCGCTTCCACACCACTTGCAGCCACCATTTGGGCTGCTGCAGTTGACACGGGAGAAGATGGCTGGTTGCACAACAAGGGTCTGCACAACCAGTGGACTCTCTTGGCTCAGCTTGCTTAGGAGGACCGGGCTGAGCTCAAGAGGAAGCTCACAAATGCTCAGCAGGGTGGATTCCAAAAGGGTTTCTCCTGTCCCCAGAGGGCCAGGATAGGATTCCACGCAGGCTGCATCTGGCCCATGGGCCTGAAGTTCAACACCCTTGCTTGAACACACCTCACTGGGCCCAGCAGAATGCAAGTGGAACCTGCAACTAAAACTGAAACTTTGGGCTTCCAGCCAGGACATTCCTTTTTCCTGTCAGTCTTGTTTCTGGATCCCTCCACACATTTCTTGCATACCCTGCACTGGGCTCTTTGGAATGGTTGACTCTGACTCACGTTTATTAGCTCATTGAGAATTGGCTTTGATCTGTACCCAGAGCATTTTATTCATTCATTCATACATAAAATATAAAATGAAAAGCCCCATTGAGTGAAAACTACATGGGAAGCTAGAATGCCAGTGACCACAATCTAATGTAACATTTATTCCGAAGTCTACGCTGATATAATGAAGAGCATAATTCTGCCTCAAGTCCCATCAGGAGCTATTCATCTCTTCTGGAATGGTTTTGCTTCATGTAACTATACACCAGCAATTCCTGAATAGTCCCTGATGGGACAGGAATATACTAAGTAAGTCAGTTGATTGTTTTAGGGCTCCCTTCTCTTTATTCAGTAATTATCAGGATTGCACTTTGACTGGCACAATAATTTTACTTTCGGTTACATAAAGGACTCTGGACCAAGAAGGCAGTATTAACAGAAACAAACATGGATACCGTTTCTATATTGATGAGCCTGGATTTGAGATAGTGTCACTTAGTAATTGGTTATTTCCAGACTTACCTGGGGGGCCCACAGGTCCAGGGGGCCCCGGGACCCCAGGGGGACCTTGGCTGCCAATTCCTGGAACTCCTGGAGGTCCTACTAATCCAGGCTGGCCACGTGGTCCAGGATTTCCTGAAAAGCATGTGCGAACACACCAAATATTAGATTTCTAGGATACAGAAAAACACAGCATCTTTCCTCAGCTCATGAGAAGTATGGCTCACTTGGGCATTTCAGCGCATGCCATGAAATAGTTCCAAAATGGCAACCACCAGGACATTATCCTGTTAGGAAACAGTCAACATGCTTGTGATCCAAGCCACAATGACATCTATCCATTGTGCCAAACCATGGGTCACCCTCAGTGCAGCTGAGAACCCAGCCATCCCCGAAGCTTCTAAACTATCAGGAAACCATAATTCAGAGCTGCTTGTGTTTTCCATCTTGCCACTCCAGGCGTGATGCATGGTGTTTCATCACAGAGGAAAAGCAATGGCTGTTAGTGATGTCCATGCACACACACACGAAGATCACAGCTAGCAGAAACTCTGGTTAGCTTTGCCATTTCAAATTATGTCTTCTGATGTTGGTATGCCAGCCAACTGCAAACCAGAGCTGGCAGTGTAGCCACCCTAACAAACAGAAGAGCACAATCCTACAAATATTTCAATGGCAAGACGTCCGACAGTCCCCAGAACTCCCAAGCACCATGATTGGCTGGGGAAACCTGGGAGCTGTGTAACTTTTCCCTGTCAAAAGATTCACAGGATTGCACCCTACACCTTGGGCCGATTTGTCTTAGTGTGGACTCATCAAGACAACTTACAAAGAGCAGAACATTTTGCGAGCACAGGGAAGCAGTTTGCAGTGTAATATCAACCTTGGTCCATCAGACTGACCATTGTCTAAACCAACAAACACCATCAAATGCCAGCGTCTGTACCTTTTGGCCCTGGAGTTCCATCAAACCCTGCACGTCCTGGTGTGCCAGGATTTCCTGGAAAGCCGGGATCACCTTTGGGGCCTTGTATGCCTTTAAAACCTGGGGGTCCGGGTGGCCCACTAGGTCCTGGGACACCAAATCCACGATCACCCTGCAATACGATATAGAGAAAGAAGGAAAGAACTATAGTTCAGAACATTTTTTTCTTTGTTCCCATTGATATGCTCAGCTCACACTGTTGTATTTATATTTGTTGTGGACTCACTTACGTCTGATTAAATGCTGGAAAGGAATAACTACACAGATGTGCATATTCATAAAGGAAGCCACATCCTTGAGTTTACGAGAGCTGAGCAGGGCTGACAAGGTCAGGTCGTTTTGGAGGACTGTCATTCATTAGGGTCACCAGAGAGCTGCCACTGAAAGCTCCACCCATCGGATCCCACATGCCCCTGTGCACTTCTTTTAGCTCATGGCCACATGAAGAGCATGAATGCCACTGTTCGAGACATGCAACTTACTATTTATTAAAACATGCTTTAATGAGTGTTTCTAACTCCCAGTATTGTTTATATTCTTAGGCAAACCAAGTGAACCTGTTTACTAACCTTCTGTCCAGCTATTCCTGGTGGCCCTGGTGGTCCATCTAGACCAGATCTCCCAGGGTTTCCTGGTGCTCCAGGGAGACCTTGCATCCCAGGGAAACCTAGAATACAGCAAAAAGCATTTGGTGCACAATCCTATGAAACATCCACATGTGTCCAAGGGAGTTTTGTAGCCTTCTGTTTTAAAAAGAGGGTTCACTCTCATACCAACTGGATGGGTAACTAAGCACCTTTGCTTTCAAGCTACACCCACTGCTGGAATGTGACTACCAAGAACTTCTCTGATACTGAATTTGGCTCGTGGACTGAAAGAGACTTCATACCCCTGAGGCAGTTGGGTCTCGTGGCCCCAGTCCCAGTGGGGCAATGGATGCAATCCAGTAAACACATCTGGTGTGGGCCTAGGGCTCAGTGCCATGGAGAGCACCTCCACAATTTAGACTGGAACACAGAATGGATACACCTGCCTCCACTTTTGCTGGCATTCCCTAACAGAGCATTATGCCCTAGCTTCCTATATAAACCCATCCCAGAGTATTTCCTCAAAATTATGCATTGATTATATATATAAATACCCTTCTTGCAAAAAAAAAGTTAAGGCAACTGATAAGCTCCCACCTTTTTCATTCTCACAGCAATGACATGTTCTAGGAGATACCTACTGGCCCAGGGTTATTTGGCAAGCTTCATGGCTGAAGAAGGAGCTGAATCCAAGTTTTTGCAAGCTATGCACAATCTTCTTAACCATCACATCAGAGCCAAATTCAGTCCCCACCACCCCTATTAAAAAAAAAAATCTCTCCCCTACCCATCCATAGAAGCTATGCGGCACCCAAGGGCCAAGTGTAGCTATATTTAGCCATTTTAGCACAAGAAAAACTGAGGATTTTGGCCAGTTCTTTACTGCCATTTACTAAAACTACACCCTGCAGGAGGAATCCAGGGGGCAAAAATGGCCTCCAGGCCCCCAGATGTTGCTCATTCCAGCACGACACCATGATGACATTAAAGAATATGGCAGAGACAAACCTTTGGGCCCCGGTGGGCCTGGAAGTCCAATACCGGGTAATCCTGGTTCACCCTTTTGGCCAGGGATTCCTGGCAATCCAGGTTGGCCTGGCTGGCCAGGATCACCTGTAGAGAACCATATTTGAATGAGCAAACTGGAGACCACACACCCCACCCCAAAGGTAAAGTATGCTGACCTTCCACCAGGAAGCACCGCCAACCTCTCACCTGGGAGGCCAACTTCGCCGTCTCTGCCTGGAGGGCCAGGGATACCAGGAGACCCTGGTTCTGTAACTGTTTGTCCGGGATCTCCTTTGGGTCCTAAAAGTAGGGGGGGAACATAGATGGTCCACTAGCAATTAAAGGAGATGCTCCACAGCTTGAAATCAACCCACACGGTAGTTTAGAACAAAATGAAATTAAACCAAAAAGTAAAAAGAGGAATATTTCAAAGGCCAGAAGTAGCACATTAAATTAACCATTTTCCAGCACATTTATTTTCCCTTTTCTGTTAACAAGTGTTGGATCTAATGAGGCGAACTTTCATCTTTATGGTTTGGTCAAGAAAAGTAAAGAAACTTACCTGGTACTCCAGGGGCTCCTGGACGTCCGGAAACACCTTGGATGCCCTTCTCACCTGGAGGACCCTGTGGGCCAAAGCCAGGTGAACCTGGAAGTCCTTGATCTCCTGGAAGCCCAGGTAGGCCTGGGTCACCTGGGGGGCCTCTTTCCCCTTTGTAAGCAATGGCTCCCTAAAAATACAAGGCAGAATGGAGAGAAAATATCTCAAATCACAGCCAATGCATGGTAATCTATTTATAGACCTTCTTATTCCAGAAGATCAGGATGCTGAGAAAAGGAGGAGTGTCTTGCTCTCTAAGACTGTAACGTCTCTGAGTTCAAGGCTACCAATTAATAGTGAGTTAATATAGCAATTCCTTTGGAGGTACAGGTCAACAATGATTTAGCATTTAGCACTTTTGTACATTTCATTGGCATAGCCAGACCATGTGTGATGGGAATGTCCAGTCTCAAACACAAGGGCATAATCTCTGCAGCTACAGGGTTGTCTTTCAGCTTCAGATGTAAGCCATGCCTTTGGCAAAGGTTCTTACATTCCAAGCAATTGTAGTCCAACATACATAGAGGGAACCAGGTTGGGCAATAGTACAATACAACCTAAAAGGCAATCACTGTTGGGTACCAGCACTAGACTGGTTAAGAATGCATTGCGTATTAGGTTACATTTAACAGAATAGTTCAGATTCACATATCAAAATGGACCCGTAATGCTGTCCCATCCATAGTAACTTACTGGCTCTCCCTTGGGCCCAGGAAGACCTGGCAATCCATCTTGCCCACGAAAACCGTCTGAGCCAGGCAGACCAGGAGGACCTGGGAAGCCAGGATTCCCTTTTTCGCCTTTCATTCCAGGAAAAGCAAGAATGTCGCCAGGATCGCCTTTTGCACCAGGACGGCCAGGCGGGCCTGGGGTGCCGGGAAGACCCTAGATCAAGAGCAGGAACTATTTCAGTAATTAGGATTGCATGGATTTATCTCTACACTATCCCTCCAACCCCGGCTTCCCACAAACAGCAAGTAATGATGCTTACTTTTGGCCCAGCCACACCAGTTAGACCGGGGAAACCTTTATCGCCCTTTAGTCCAGGTAAACCGGGAGAACCTGGTTGCAAAGAAAAGCAAGTATCAATGGTAACAGGTAGGAAACAGCCTACCTATAAGGTTATACAAATCACTTAGTTGAAATAACTCCAAGACCCAGAAAAAAATGATGCTACATTCATTATATTATGCTTAGATATGATGTCCCTGAGTTAACCAATCAGGAAGAGGTCTCAGCTGCAGAAGAGCATCATGGAGTCCTCATCTCCTTACAACATAGGAGATGTTGAAACTGCATTTACATCTATTAAACAAGAACAGAGAGGGATGAATGCAACCTCTGCATACCTGGACTTCCAGGTAACCCTGCCACACCCTTCTCCCCTGGAGGGCCAGGAATTCCAGTTCCTATGCAGTTAAAACACGTGCCTCCTTTATCGCCTAGGAATAAAGACATAAGCAATGAGATGAATAACAGCAAGAACAAGACATGTTATTCTGTGAGCACAGATGTTATAATATGCAAAGGAAGGCTTCAGCTAGAAAGCTGACATGCACTCCAGATTATTAGAGAAGAATCAGAATAGCAATCTATGTAACCCACAGAAAGCATTGGGAGTGTTGTATCCAGGCACAGATAACCATGCGCTACCAACTTACATATAGTGTAGTCACAGCTAGAAAAATTAAGAATAAAACACTGGGACCTTACTGACATTAAAAGCCCTTTTCTATGTCATCCAATGACTGGGAGCAGAGGAAACCCTTGACCCCAGCACTAGCAGGCATTTTTCAGTGGGCCCTCAATCAAGTATGAGGCCCTTTGCAGGTACCCATCCTTGTTTACCATTGGTGCCAGGTCTGCACAGACCTGCTGGCAAAAGACAAAGAAGAACAAACAGTATCGAGAGATGATACCTTTCTGGCCTCTCTCCCCAATAAATCCTTGTTCTCCTGGAAGGCCTGGGCTGCCAGGAGGTCCTCGCTCACATATTCGATCAACTGAAAGTAAAAGCAATGCAGTGAGCAAACTTATGGGTAGAGCAAACTTATGGGTAGATAAGGCTAGGGGTGACAAGGAAAGCTTCCTCCATCTTAAGACCTGTATGACTGATGAGCAGCACCCTCTGCAAACTGTAGTTCTATAACAAACAGAAATTGAACCCCAAAAAGTGCTTGAAGAATTCTATTCTATCTCCCCTCAGGTAGACTGTGGGAAGCAGTTCCCCAACAAGATCCTCCACTCTGCAACCTTCACTCCTCAGAAGAAGCCAATGACTACAGGGAATCCAGCTGGCCCTTGAACATCCAGGCACAGCCCCTGAAACAGGTGGAGTTTCCAGAAGGGATATCCTGGCCCTGGTATAAACCCTGTTGCCAACAGCTCCCAGTTCGGTGCTGGGGGCACCTTAGTCCTGAGAGCACTGTCCATGGTCCTGAAATCGACTCCTCTCAGTCAGCTACCCCATATCATTGTGCCTCTGCTGAGCTACTGCTCAGAACAGGTGATGGAATCCCCGACAGAGCAGGACAGCTCATTGTCCTCTATATGTATCCTCTCCACTTTTGCTTCCTACAGCATCCATTTCAGAATATATATAAGCCCCAGTGCTAATTGCAGAGATCCTGGAGCACATAGAAAAGTCTGCTTTAAATAGAGCCCCAGCAGAAAAATTCCTTGGAGGAAAGGGGATAAATTAAAGCATTTTGAGGGTGTTTTTGATTTACAAGAAGAAAGTGAACATTTCAATATTAATCTCCCTTTCTCCCCATCCCTAGCTCAATGCCATTATAGGTTCAAGAAAAGAAATAGAATCAACAGTCGACTGGTGGTCAAAAGTATGATTTACTTGGTGGAATAGTTGATCCTGGAGGGCCGGGAGGGCCTGGAGGGCCAGGAGAGCCAGGTCGTCCATCAATTCCAGGCTGTCCTGGGATGGAAATCCCAGGGAGGCCTTGATCCCCCTTCTGTCCTCTTTCTCCAGGTAGACCAGGAGCACCAGGAGGCCCAACACTTGGAATTCCTGCAGTAGGAAAAGGCTAGGTTCTCATGGGATGGTTCAGATGTAATTCTAAATCACAGCTTGCCAAGTTGTCCAAACTATGGTTAATCTTAGTTAGAGGTTAGTGAAAACAAGACAGCTCCATGACCTAGGCATGAAGTTGGCTTGCTGCCACTAACCACAAATTTAGATTAACAAAGTAGAGGACTCAGTTTAGAAAGCACAGTATCTTTTCACAGATAGTTCAGCAGGCCCATATGTAAAATGAGCATTCAGACAAGATTTGACAGGTCTGCAAATTGAGTTCTGGTATAGCAAAACATTTTAGTTTGAATGGATGTAGGATGTTGGGTCACCGACTTGAAAAGCAGGAAAGAAAGCCATGCAAAAGTCAAGAAAGGAAAGTAACCCAATGCAGTAAGGGAGAAAGAATGATGTTTCAATAAATATGCACATACGCTTCTTCCTTACAACTAGTCTCCTAAATTTGAACAGCCTTTAATCATTGTTTAAAGAGAAGTGTGAAATGTATTTAAAAATAAGAACTAAAACAAAAACTTCTTGAAGCTGCACTTCCATTGATGAGACACACTTTTTATCCTGCTAGAGACAGACACAAACATCCATATCAAAGATAAGTTAAATTCATTTTCTTTGTAATTATCACTGCCATCATCATACAGCCACAATTTCAAAACACTTTTGAAATTAAAAATAAAAGTGAAGCTAAATTAAAATACAGTGCGAACTATTTAAACACAGACAAATATTTTAGCTGAAAGCCATTACTCAGACTTTGGAGAGGTGGATCAAGCATTGGGAATGGGGTGAGGGGGAGGGGAATAAAGGGGGGTGGGCATGGGGAAGGGGGCAGAGTCAACTGGGAAACACCAATGGGCCAGACTGGGACCCCAGGCAAGACCTAGCCTCTGGACCTGAGATCTCAAACCTTTGTTTTTAGAGTTTGAAATCCTTAGTCCAAGATGAGGAATATCTAGCCACAGGGTGCAAAGGGTTTTGTTGAACTCTTGAGAATCACAGCTTTACTTTAAAATCAAAACAACCCAGCCCAAACAAAACTAAACCTAAATTTACTTATCCTTACAGAAATATATTTGGAAAACACATGTGGTAGCCATGCTCATTGAGATACATGGACACCCTTGGCTTGAGTTCCCTCATCACATGCAAACCTACCCTCAGTTTGATCAAACTGGAACATTCATTATTTGGCTTGAGATAGGGCCAAAGCAGATGTGGATGATGGAGATTTGCTACCAGCTCTTCTAAAAGCCATCAATTTTACTGCATCTTCTGGGAGCTCTGATTTTGAAGAAAAATCTGGTACTGGACAATGGAAGATGGTTCTTCTCCCAGCACCATTTTCCAGATCTAAATCCTTCTCACCGCTCATGCTGGTGTTAGCTTCAGTGAGTCTAACAACAGCAGAAGACAGTGCTGCTCAGATCAGAAAAACAGCGAGGGAGAAAAGGTTAACCCCACCTTCAATGGTGCTCTTCTCATCAAACTCAAAGGTCCCAGGCATTACTTACAGGTTAAGAATGTGCCACCACTGATAAGGGGTCCTGCAACACATTTCTTTAAGCCTTCCACATGTGTTAATGGAGCATCTAGACACAATATGAGATGTTGCACTGAATGGGTTATTTACCATTCAGCTTCTTCCACTGTTATTTGCCAACATGAACACACAGGCTAGGTCTAGGGGAAAACAAATAATTAATAGGGCCAGAGCAAACATGGAAGGGGGGTTAATCCCTTTCCGTCCTTTCTGTGGTCCCGAAGAAACTCCTCTTCTGAGGCTGATAGTGCTTTGTGGAGCAAGAAGGAGATAATGTTGTGCATTTTAGCCCTGGTGCTCAAGATATCGAAGACTTCTGTTCTCTTACCTGGTGGACCTGGCACGCCAGAGGGTCCCTCTGGGCCAGGATAGCCACGCTCGCCTTTTTCTCCAGGAAATCCTGGCAAACCTTTGCTGCCTTTTGGGCCCACTGTTGTTCCTGTGTCTGGCCTTGGAATCACCTGGCATATTCCATGATTCAAGGAAAAGTAAAAGTAAAAAGCATACAGAAGAACAAAGGAATGCCAGGCTAAGTTACATGCGTGATTGAAATAGGCATATTAGGCTAATTTCAATTGAAAGGACAATAAATAGTGCACTATGAAAATTGGTAGCTGTTCACATGAGGTTGTGATAGAAAACCTATTTCTATTTATTTATTTTTCAAAATCTAGCCCTTCATTCAAGGAGCTAAAGCCCACATGCTTTCAAGTTTAAGTTTTCTTGACAAATACATACATAATACAATAATACATGTCAACACAGCACAAGTAGAAAACGGGTGGGGGAGAACAAAAATAGTGTGAAATACTAAATAGAATGAAACATCTTCAACCTGAAATCAAAGAGCACTGACCAAAGACACTCTTGAAATAGTTCTTAAAGATAAAATTGCATCCTTCCAAATTTATGTTTTTGAGGTGGTAACCACTTTTGGTTCAAGGTCTTTTGAATTGCCTTAATCCTTTGAAAGTCTTAATGGATGTCAGCTTTTTCATAAGCAACAATGCTTAGATTTTCATACCAAAGCTAAAACTCAAGGAAGAAATAGATACATTAGAGAAACTGGATTTTCTTTGTGACACTGGGCCCAATGCATTAAACAATGTTTTAATGTTCAGTGGATTCATTGCATTCTTTTAATGTGATGTTTCTCATACCAAGGAAATAAAAATATAATTTGCTTAGGTTTCATGAAGGTAAGGGAAAAACCACAAGATCAAGAAATGAAATCAATTTTTAGAATATTGGGACAGAAATTGAAGTAAGATGGAGTCATTTATATTTTCAGAATATTAGTAAATATTTGGAAATATGGGCAACATGAAAATGTGTAATGTTTTCATCCAGGAAAAAGCATTGAATGCGATACATTGGTAAATGAAGTATATTTACTGTTCTGTAGCACTGAACAGTTTTAAAATAAAAAGTAAACAAAAAAGAATAAAATGACCATCAACAACATGGGAAGAAATGCAACAGATAACACTTAAGGAAAGAGACAGACTGAGTGGCAAGGAACTTACACGTCCAGGAGGGCCAGGCAGACCCGTGTCACCTTTCTGACCCTGTGAATGAAATTTCAACAAGCTGAATGTTAGTGGGAAGAGGGATCAGAAAGTGTATGTGAACGCATTTGAAAATTCTGAATTGCAAAGTTCCTTCCACATGAACATGTCAGTCCCTTAAGATCAGGCCAGGAGGCACTCCTGCAAGTAGCATCCCTCAAAAAGATGAGAGGGATGGCAAATAGAAGAAGGGCCTTCTTGGTGGCTGCTCCCTGCCTTTGGAATAGTCTCCCTAGTGATGCCTGCCTGGCACCGTCTCTATTATTGTTTTGGTGCCGAACAAAACCATTCCTTTTTAATACCCTTTTAAAGGATTGAGGCCTTTGAGTTGTGGTGCTGGAGGAGACTCCTGCAAGTCCCTTGGACAGCAAGGCGATCAAACCAGTCAGTCCTAGAGGAGATCAACCCCGACTGATCTTTAGAAGGCCAGATGCTGAAGATGAAACTCAAATACTTTGGCCACCTAATGAGAAGGGAGGACTCCCTGGAGAAGAGCCTAATGCTGGGAACAATTGACGGGAAAAGGAGAAGGGGACGGCAGAGGATGAGGTGGTTGGATGGAGTCACGGAAGCAGTTGGTGTGAGCTTAGGTGGACTCCAGGAGATGGTGGAGGACAGGAAGGCCTGGAGGAGTGTTGTCCATGGGGTCGCGATGGGTCGCACGTGACTTCGCGACTAACAACAACAAAATAACTGATCCTGCCCTCCTTTTCACTGTTTGTTATGCTGTTATTATGACAAGGTTTTAAATTTTGATGTGGTATTTTATTATTTATATAACTGGAACAAATACAATAAACAAATCTCACTCACTTTTTCCCCATCTCTTCCAGGAAAGCCAGGTAGCCCACGATCACCAGGTAAACCCTTAGAACGAGAAAAAGAATAAGCCTCAAAATATTTAACTGGCACAGAATTGTTATATAAATAAAAGGAAAATGTATTGGACTCACAGGCAAGCCAGGCTGACCGGAATCTCCGTCTTTACCAGTTTTCCCCTTTAAGACAGAAATGAATATTGAAAAGCAGTCAGTGGCACCGTACCACAGAGATGCTACCAGTATAACACTGTCAGTAGCTCAGACTGAATGCAAAATGTGTCTCTTCAGCAGGACTTCCAAGGTAAATATCAACTGGCAAATGACCCCCACAGTTAGCAAGAGAAAACAAAACAAGGTTAGGCAAAGTAAAAACTTAACAAAAAGAGCATGGTATGACTGGCATTGAAAATGTAACAGAAGAACATTCTTGGACTGAGTAAATGACTTTGTAAGCAGGACTATCCTTTTTTAATGCTGTTTGGGTGTTATTTCGTTGGCAGCCTCTCTCTGTTCAAAAGCAAATGAGGAAAAAGCCTTGGGGTGGAAATGGACAGGGCCCATGAGGCTGGGGCAGCCACCATTCTTCCTCCTCCCTGAGCCATTTTCCTGAGCTAATTCTCTGCTCCAAACTTCACAGCCTCTCCTTCCCCATCCACATAGTGCTGATGTGACTGAGGGGCCACCCTGGGTATTTTTTTAACAATCCTTTAAAGAAAAGGCCAGCGTTCACTAATATGGCATACTCCAGACGCTCTAGATAACAACTCCCATTGGTCCCAGACAGAATGGTCTACAGTCTGGACCGATGGGATCTGTGGACAACAGTTTGGGAAGGCAGAGAGGTGATCCAGTCACCTCCATCCCAAGCTTGGCCCTCCAAGATGTTTCACCCTCCAAAAAAAGCAAGTGGTGAGTTTTCCATAGTCTGGCACAAGTTCACAAGTAGCATAACTACTAATGAATCACCAGGAAACCCAAAAAATAAAGCAAATGAAGGAACCTTGCATAAACTATCTGCAAGTTAGTTTGTATGTAGAGCTGCAAATTGGGAAATAATTTTTGTAATTTAAATAGAAACAGAACACATCACGCTATAATGTGGAAGACTGTAACCAGGCAACCCATGTGCCTGCTCTTCAGCCTCCTGCCCAGGTGCTCACCAATCACAGGCAGCAGTTTTTATGGCCCTTTATCTTTTAACTGGACTTGGACAGGCCAGACCTTCAAATAAAGGAATGTTTTGAATACTTGATGGACCATGACAGCACTTCAAACAGAAGACTATCCTCTGTAAAAAAGGACACCTGGCAACTGTAGAGCACTAGCTGGCAAACACATATTGATCCCAAGCTCTTAAAAGTAGTTATATAGCAACTCTTACAGGGAGAGCAGGAAACAAATGCAACCCAAAACAAAACGAAAACAGCAAGGAATCCAGCGGGCTCTGCGTCTGCTCATGTGAAGATCAGAATTCCTTCTCTGCCTGTACTACAATGACTGAAAGCAGCTTTTCCAGCTCACCACTCTCCAGATACACTTGACTACAACCCCTGAAGCTCTAGCTTATGAGAACAAGCCAGGATGTAACATGCAGGTGGGGAACTTGAACTATGCAGGCAGCAGTAAAGGATGATAGGAGTGGGAGTCCATAACATCTGGAGGGCCACAAGTTGCCTGAACTAGAACCACAGTCCAATCCTGGTTTGTCCTCTCCAAAAGTGGTTTGAACAGAACACATCACAGTTCCCAGGTTCAAATATCAAAAAGGATCGTGGTGTTTAAAGCCAGAAATGAACCTTCTGAGCTTCTCCATCAGCAAGAAAAGAGGAGGAAAAGAGAGGAGGAGGAGGCATCTACAAGCTTGGTTAAGGGGAAATGACAGTAGCTCAAGGAGTCTAAATTAATGAAGATGGAAGAAAGCTGAGTCTTGATATTAGCATGTCATCCATGCCCATCCCCATCCACAACCTCATCTGGTACTAGTTTCATTCCATGCCATCTTAGCGGACCATAGGAGAAAGGAAAGAAATCTTACCCAGTATTTGATGACCCAACCTGAATTCCCAAAGTTATACATGGTTTGGAAAGGTAAATGTTGGGTTCAAAGACATTACTTACTCTTTTGCCTGGTTCTCCTTGCTCACCTTTTTCACCTTTGCCACCACCAGGAAAGCCCTGAAAACAGAGAACACCACCCTGCCATCAGTCCATCTGCATAACGGCTTGAAGACTTCTACTGATACTTCAAAGCAATGCAAAGGAGGTTACTTACAGGAAGACCTGGTGGCCCAGGAAGGCCGGGGGGCCCTCGTTCACCTGGAACACCCTGTCAAGCATGAGGGGAGGTAGAGAAAATATGTTATTTAGCAAAAACCTGTCCTCTGGGAGAACTTCATTTTCACCCCCATACAAACTACCATTCTTCACGTGGACCAGTGACATTTAGTAATCTAGAGATTACTTCCAGAGAAGCAGCAAGAAGCCTTGCTGGGCTCTAGAAACCAGTGGACTTTCCATTGGGTCAAGAAGGTTCCCCAAACACACATTTCACCAGCAAGGACTACAGAGCGGAGTCTGTGACATTCGTTGCCTTAAGGGAGGCGCAATGGCCCAGTTCGCATGACTACCGTGGCTAGCTGGTAGTGTTTTTCCCTTCAGTGACTGCGTGAACCTAGTCAGTGAACTGTTTCATGCATAATTCTAACCTATGGCTTATTTTAACCATGGGTTGTTGAGTTCTGGGTGGTCACCGTGTGCAAAGCCAGTCACATACAACCATAGTTTGTTAACCACAAACAAACCCAGAAAGTGAAGCCCTGGTTTTATTGTTGGGTTGTGATTTCTGGGTTCATTATACCTACCATGGGTTAGGTATGGGCTATTGTGTTGTGTGAAGCCTATGATTATGTAAGAACCCAAAGCAACAGGTTGTTTCACCATCTGCAGAGGTAGTGGACAAGAGATATTACATGTTATTGGCATCCTTTTGGTTTGCCAGATGAAATTTTCCTGCTTAATTTAACTCCTTCAAAAAATAACGAGCTGATTTACAGGAGGCCAGGGGGACATTTGCAGCTGAAAACATTTCATTCCTTAGTTGGTTTTGAGGAAGGAATAAAATGAAACACCATCTGGAGATTTCAACAGCTATATCCACCACCATCAGAATGCTCTATCTTCATTTCTGTATATGTTAAGCCTGCTACACACAGTGCTTTTGGGCAATCTTGTGTTATTTTCACATGCAGTTTTTAAGTGTCCTTGTTTTAATACACCAGGGCATCATGTTCTATCAGTAATAATACCCACGTTGCTTTTTCTTCTTGCTTTTTTTTTTTTTTTTTGGTGTTTTTACAGGTTGCTTTGATCAGGTCTATCCTTGCTGCTTTTTTGAGGACTCACAGGAGTGCCTCCCATCACTCACCTGATCTCCTTTCTGAAATTCGACGTCATCTGGTCTTTTCTGCTCTCCGATCTGTCCTGGAGGCCCAGGAGGTCCTTGTAGTCCCTGTTCACCCTAACTCCCCCAGGAGACAGCAGGACATGTTGATTATATCCAGTCTCCTCATACGATAAGCCAACAAACCCAAGGTCAATCTTCCACTCTTACCTTTTCTCCTTTGGGCCCTTGGAAGTTCAAGCCCATATTGCCCTAAAAAGAGCAGCAGTGGTTATAATGATGAGTGCAAAGAAATGTACAACAGTAAAGGAACATCAAAGCCCTAAAATGAAGCCATACCTTTGGGCCTGGTAGTCCTGGCTGACCAGGAGGTCCCTGCAAATGAGAAACGTGTCCGTCAATTTCTCAGGAGTACTTCTGCAGCCCTGGTGGTAGTTTTGAGAAGCACAGCATGGAGCAAGTTGCCATGACCTGACATTGTACACATTTGGGAAGACCTTGACAGCTTGCTTATTTACTTTGGCCTCCTACGGGTTGGGTTGGCTTGCAGCTGCCACTGCATGCGTTTGGTTGCATCTTGGGTCAGTATTTGCTGTTTTTGCTAATTTGGCACATTTTACCATGGTGCTCCACCTTGGAAGAGCTCCTAGTTGAAAGACAACTAAGAAATAGTTTAAGAAAACTGACCAACCAAGCACAGCAAGCACTTCCAGTCTAGTTACTAGTGCAGCTTGGATAGCAAACATGCTTTTGTAGTAAACCAGTTGGAATATACGGAGTTGTAACAGATGTGGAAAGGAGGTGGTGACGTAGCCTTCACCAAACTAGGGCCTTCCAGGTGCTCTGGAGTTCACCTTCCATCAACTCCAGTCAACATGGCTAATGGTCAGGAATGCTGCGTGTTCTAGTCCAAAGTATCTGTTGGACACTAGATCAGGGAAAGATGCTTTAAGTCTTTGCAACGGGATGGTGCAGAGGTTTAAATACAATCATGGAATGCATGGGCAGATTGAAGGACTATCTGAAATGGGCCAGCCTGATGTTCTCTCTCGCTCTGTTTTGCATGCAATGTGTAAATGTGTGATACGTTGCCCCAGGAATGCAGAAACTCTGATCATTTCCATCTGGCTCTCCCAGATGCTCAGGCCCCTCAGCCCCAACCAGCAACCCATTTGGTGGCCTGCCAACGTTTGTTCAGTTTTCCCCATCTTAAGTGGCTGAAAAGCATTTCTTAAAGCTTAGTTACTGACTCTAAGAGCTTTAAGCTAAAACATGCTATATTTTTGGCAGGGCAGCAGCAATTCAGTGGCAGCTTTTTCCTGAGATTTATAGGAGCTATCCATGGTATTCCATTGTGGTAAACCTGTTCTGGATGTGGAATTCAGGACTATGGATAGCTCAGCATGAAAACCGCAATGGATAAAGAGCTCCATTGCCATAGGAGACACCTGCCCTGCCATGTCGCTATTTTGGCCCCGCTCCTTGGGCCCTCCGCCCTTGGCTCAGAGCTTCCCTGAAACATAGTCTGGCCCTTAGACCGAGAGGCTCAGCAGCCCTTTGCTGCTCTGCTTTAAATGGAGGCAGTAAAAGGGGCTGTAAGCTGGGTCCCATTTATATATCTCCGGAAAGGTGCTGAAGCCATTTGTTCCAGCACTCAGTTCCGGGAACATGAGTGCAAGGAGACTGTGTGTACTGTTCTTCCATGGAGAAACTCTACCAACAGGAGCACTGACACAAACCCCACCCCTTCTGTCTCTGCCAGTAGCTCTGCAATGAAAATATAGATTTGTTGTGCAGAGCTGGGTGAGAGAGGCATGGAGAAAGCCATCCCAGCTGCTTCCAAAAGTGCTAGAGAAGGGCCAGCTCAGGAGTTCTGAGCCTCATCGGGCTCCACTTACTTATTCCACAAGCTAGGCAGAGGACATCAAGGAAACATACCGTCAAGCCTGGTGGCCCGGGAGGACCGAGCGGGCCTGGTGCTCCAGGAGAACCTGGTGGTCCCTGCAGGAAGGAGAGAAGGAATGGTCAGAATTGCTCTGCCAGAAAAAGGTTGGACACTGCATGAGAAACTCTGCGGATGTGGGAGGATGGGGAAAGTACAAGGGCAGGATGGAGTAACTCTAGGCCAGAGGGAAGCCCTGCCATGCCTGGGGGCAGCAATGCTGCTCAGATACTTCTTTGGGCACCCACCAAGACCTTCTATGCCCCTTCTGCACTCTCCTTTACCTGTTCCACAGAAATGAATGACAAGGCCCAGCAGCCTACCTGAATGTAACACAAATATCACACACACTTCCCTACTTAGAAGAACCTGATCGTCTGGCTGTGAGCTTTTCCTAGCATTCACCTGCCTCCTTGTGGTTCTTACATGCGGCCTCAATTTAAAGGCAGGATCCATAACCACACTAAGAAAGTGTGGCTGGATAAGAACTTTGTTCAGTTCATTATTTTGATAAGAATGTACCGACATCCTCCAATGTCTTCTTATTCCATGTTCCAGGTCTGTGTGCCACTCACATTCTCAGCTGTTTCGTCATAGGGATCCCAAGGTAAGCAAAATTCAGAAGTGCTTTACTGTGGCGTTTTCCACACTGTGCAAACCAAAGTTAGCTTAAGCATCTCCACTGTTGTCTGTGAAAAACTACCACTGCCCCCAGTAGCTGCCCTTCAAGGGTTTCTCCTCCCCTGTTCCCACTGGAGGGATCCAATCTCTCCTGTGACATTAGCCTTGAAGAGGCTGGATGCATCTTAGTCTGGTGTCTCCATTTGGGCCATTCTGCATTGGGCGTCCATGCCAGGAGCCCAGATTAGTGAAAGGATCTGTCCTCCTGGTGGCACGGCTCACAGCTTCTCTGACACTCTCAACTCACCTTACACATTAAGGTGTGCACTCAGGAAGGTGACTTTTAAGTTTTAGCTGAACACACACAAGTTTTAGTAGCACTGTACCATTAAAATGCTCTGTATGTTACCGCATTTCCTCTCACCTTGGAGGAAAAGCAAGGAAAACAGTCATTTTAGTCAACTTACAGGGATTCCTGGCAGACCTGGATATCCTGAGTCACCTTTCTGTCCTGGTACCATGGACGTGATTATTTCACCTGGCTCGCCCTAAAAGGAAGACAGAACTGAGGAGGCAACTCTCAAGATGACTAAGAGGGAGAGATCAGAATGACAATTACTCTCCATGCATGTGAAAACAACCATTTATCTTATAGGAGCCAAACTGTTCAAAACCATTTCAACCATTCTCTCATTTACATTTTTTTCATGCAGCAACTCATCCATGATTCCTAAGTAAGCTCCTTTAATTGGCACGTGGCTTGGTTCATATGCAGTTTAAGCCTTAATAGTAGGATTCTCATTGCACAGAAAAAGCAGGATGGGGAAAGAGCTTTCAAAAACACTTAAGAACCTGAAATGGAAAGCAACAATGATGAGCATTTATAAGTTGTCATATTTGCTAACATACCATCAAGTCAGGGAATATAGATCATAGGAACATGATATGATTGCGTTTAAATTAAATGCAGTAATGCCGAAACAGGTTTTCTAATCCAGCTAGCTGAAATATTTTTGTAGTTATTGTTCATATTATGCATTTTATTTCTCTACCACCCAATGGCCAAAGTGAAAATCTTGGAACTTGGTAGCACAGATCCTATGCCAACCTGTGCTTGTTTAGACAAGCTGCCTGGAGCATGCTGGGAAACTTTTTGCTGTCTAAACATGAACCAGACTCTGCCTTTCCTTGCACAATTTAACCCATCATATTGGGGTTTTGCCTCCTGCCAGATGTTCAGCCCTACAGCTTCCATCCAGCAGAGCACAGAGAAGGGCAACAGTGGCGGTAGGGGGCAACCCACAAGGGCTGGAGCCTCAAATCTTTCATCCGGAGCCCTGAATCTCTGGGACATTGTCCACCTCGCTATTTTGCTAACTGGGGCACACTTGCTGCATTAATGGCCCAGGAGACTGATGCTCTCTGTTGCGTCTGATTCCCTTGAATTAGCTGGATTTTTGCCTTCATGTACACCTACAATTCTCTCTCTCTCTCTCTCTCTCTCTCTCTCTCTCTCTCTCTCTCTCTCTCTCTCTCTCACACACACACACACACACACACACACACAAGCATCATAGTTGCATTGCACACATTCCAGCACTCACTCACTCACTGGCACTTTCGCAGCCACACAAACCTGCTTGCTCACAGCTTCACCACTCGCCTTCCCTGCCAAAACAAGCAGGGAAGCAGGAAAATGCCCTTGAAACAGACTCTGAGGTCCCTGCTACAAAATCCTGATTCCTGCAGCAACTGAGGCAGCAGCCTTCAAACGCTTCTTCTAAGATGCTCCTCAAAGAAAGCGTTTCCTTTGGATCTTCTTGCCCCTCTGTGTGGAGATGCCGGCAGATTATTGACACCGGATGCAATTCCTACCCCATTCTTGCACTCCCTTGCAAGCGGCGATTGGGTTCCCCAAAGAGATCCATAAAATGCAGAACAGACATAATAGCTGTGAAAGCACAGAACAGCTTACCTTCAACCCCATGAGGCCAGGGGGACCCTGCATTAAAAAGGAAAAGGAAAAAAAATGTAGTAAATGAAGACTCATTTATATATTAAATTTTATCCCACCCCATTAGCCTCAAGGCTTCCTGGGCTGGTTACAAATAGAAACATACAATCAAATAACAAAATATCATAAAACGCTAATATAACAATATCAAAATCTAACAGCCAAACAAATAAAAACCACAAGAACCCACCAAGGAGTCTCCAGAGACTTTGTGCCCGAAACAACTTTTGGAGAGGGGCATGAAATACTGCCCTGGTGCCGGGGACGATGGACAGCAAAAGGAGAAGGAGAAGCAGAGGATGAGGTGGCTGGATGGGGCCACTGGGGCGGTGGGGGTGGGCTTGGGTGGACTCCAGGGATGGTGGAGGGCAGGAGAGCCTGGAGGAATGTTGTCCATGGGGCCGTGATGGGTCGGGCACGACTTTGCGACTAACAACAACAAGGAAATGCTGATTTCAATGAGTGGCCTCTTTTCTGCAGGATTTAAAAATGCACCCAGGAGGGCCAGCATCAAGGCTAGGCATGGTGGGGCCCAGGGACAAACACCTCCGGACTTGCTCCTCCTCTTCCCCATCACAACCTGCTTGTTTGCCCACCTCTCAGCTCTGGCCGAAACAACAGGGATGCGGAGCAGTGTGAGCTCATCCACAGGCCCTCTGATGATCTCAGGCCAAGAAGAGGCTCTGCTCTGTGATGGACACCCCATTCACCCCAGGGAGGGTCAACTCCTGCCCAATTTGTTGGTGGTTCGATGCCAGCCAAGGTGCTGTTTATTTTCCCAGGCTGCTTAGTCTTCCTGTTAACCCTGCTGATGGCTTTTCTCTGGCTCCTGAAACAATGTTAATGACTATTAATATTACCCCAATTTTCTGTATTTCCACAGGAGAATAGCTTACACCAAAACGTTCCTAAACAAGCTCAGAATTAGACACCACAAAACAAGTACACCCAAACTCTGTTCCTGAGCAAAGCCAGTGTAATGATTGCAGAAAAATGTTTTTTGTACTTACGGGGGGCCCCTGTAAGCCTGGAAATCCTGAACTACCGGGAGGGCCACGTTCTCCCTGCAGAGAGAGAATGAAAACTTAAAACAGACTGTTAAAGACTGTTGGCAGCTCAAAGATGTGCTTCTGCAAAATGGAGACTCGGCAAAGAAATTGGGGATGCTGCAACAGACCAGAAGCTCAAACTGCTTAAACAATGGAGCCATTCCCTGAGTCATTTCAAGATGAGGAAGAGACCATCAGTATTGTCTTGCATCACTTTTAGTAGATTTAATTGCAGCAGTGCTTCTGCAAAGCTTTGGAGTCCCCCGAGCATGGAGAAAGCACTGTCTTTTTTGGGTGGCCCCGTTTTGCTTCCCAGCTGATATGCACTTGACCATCCAAATCTGATCTTTGAGAAAATGATTAACACCTTTTATTAGCAGGGCAGCAAAGGTGGGGAACTATTCCAGACCCACCCACCAGAAGTCTTCTCCAAAGCCCCACCTCATGTGGTAATTTCATTTCACAGACAAAACAAAACCAAATGAGAAGCTGTACAACAATTTTCCATTCTGCTTTTGCACCACAAGGTTCACACAAGCCTCTCCAGCTCTGGCCTTGGGGTTGCTTTTCCTCTGTTTCTCTTGTGTTTATCATGTTTAAAGTATGTACTTCACTATTGTTTCTATCAGGTTTTATTAGTGATTGTAAGTTTGATTGCCCTTTCTTGGTAGGAAGGGGAGTGCAAATAAATGCATAAACTTCTCTAACAGGCATCCAGATGATGAACAACTTCATCATCTTGTTTCTCCCAAAAGGGACAAGGGGTCAAAATGAGGCCTGGATGCTCTGATCTTTGGAAAACAAATGGGCTAGAAATGAAAATGTAATGCATATTTTAAAAAATAGAGGTGTCACGCTATTGATTTGCCTTTGACAATAAAAAAAGCATTCAGAGCATGAATCAGGGGGAGAAGTCCCACGGCTATGTGCAGTACCCAGGACAACTGTCCATATTCCCCTGAAGTAAAACAGATCCTGATAAAAGACCACAATAATAAAGCTTGTTTTTATAGGCATGAAAAGCACAGTGAGGAACACTGGTCTCTGTCTGGGCCAATCTAAATAATGTGCGGGGGTTTTGTGAACCAAACTCCTTTCTTAAAACACAGCTGTGGGGAGACTCTGCTCCACATGATGTTTGGGGCCAAGATATGGGGAAAGCGAAAGAACAACACCCAGCCCTCTCTTGCATCCCGTGCCTGAGGCAGATCACCCTCACACTGCAAAGTTGTTATCAGCTGTGGAGCAGAGCAAAAATGTGGGCACAATTAGGGGCTTTTCAAGGAAGGAGAAAACAGCACAAAGCATTAGCAGTCCATTCCCCTCGGCCCTGCATTTTGGAGGAGTGGTGGAAAGATGCCTGCAGAGACCAGGAAAGGAATTTTCCTGAGTCCTCCCCGCCTCTATCCACCCTGCTTCAAGATGCCTTCAGTGGCAGGAGAACAAACTCCCACCTAGCAAAAAAGCACAGCATGTGAGCAGGGAGAAAAAGAGGGTCTCCACCCGTCCTTCCACCCTGCACAGGATGCTCATAACCCTCCAAGTTCAAGGCCTTTGGATCATCAAGTGTCTTCTCCTAAGAGTACCTTCTACCGTGAGAACCAGCATGATTCTATCCCAGGTGAGTGCTGCAGGAACTCCATAAAAATGGGTCTCACCTTTGTTCCGTTGCATCCTGGAATACCTGAAGGTCCCGGCGGCCCATCCTGACCTGGCAGCCCCTGAAAGGAAGGGCAGCAGGATCACATTTAGATGCATTTGTTTGAATTACAATTAATAAGCAGCGCATCATAATAAAGATAAATATGATGGTCTGCTTAAACGTTTTACCTGGCAGCTAAACATATACAGGGAAGATACCAGGAGAATCTCCCTGGGAAAAGAGTTCTCTGGCTCCTCGCATCCTTGTGTTCCGGAAGTGGAACCCGGAGAAGTGCCTCAAAGGGGAACTCAGCAACAAGGCGGATACACAGTATAACAATGCATATGTAAAAAGTTTTTTAAAGTGTTATGAAAACTCTTTAAAAGTGCACTTACAGGAAGTCCCGGCGTTCCTGGGAAACCTGGTAGACCTGGAGGTCCCTAGAGTGAGACATAACCACATTTGTGCTTAGAGACAATGGAGGGATAAACTGTTGCTTTTAGAATTACCGGCTTAGTCTAAGACTGTAGTTGGACTGTACAAGGGCGATTCCGCTTGCTGTGTAGTAAAGAAACGGGGGAGGTGATGTCAGCTTTGGTGTCCGGGTGGCCTTTTAGAGCACGTTCTGGGCTCCCACCATGAGAGTGAAAACCAGGCTGTGTGTGCGGTTTGCGGATGGGTTTGCAAGGAGCAGCAGAAGGCCAAGATTGCTCAGGTGACTTTTGCAATTATTTTTCTGCAGGAAAGCCTGCATTTTTAAAAGAGAAATTGAGACAAACAAAGGAGGGCAGGCATGAGCCAAATGTAAAGTTTAAGCTTAAATAACCCTAGGAAGCATAAGTACCCAGGCAGACAGATCTCCAGGAATGCTAATCAAGGGAAGCACTCTGTGTGGTCATGTCTTGTATTTACAAATCTCCTGATAAAAGCTGCCAGTAGCTGTGCTCCTCCTATCTTGTATTTCGAAGTAGCACAGTTCAAGGAAAGCTGTCGCACCACGTGGGTAGATTAGCACTAAGATGAGAACCAGAAAAATCACAAGAATGATAAACCATCAATTGGCAGGGAGAGAAGGTGACTCGAGAAAGCTCTGACTTGTTTGGGTTATGCAACATCTGCTCTGAGTCGGCAACGGGGTGCGGGAGAGTTCAGTGTGGATGCAATGCGAGGTCTCTCCGTTTAGGGCACTTCAGACAGGAAGGCTGAGGGCCACGTTCAGACATTGCGAAGCTTTCTGGTGAATGTGCCAGCATATATTTGGCCACTGGGGTGCTCGGCGATGGTTACGGAGTCAGGAATTTTGTACGAACAAGTAAACAAGCGGAGGGGCAGGTGGCTCAGATGTCTCGCTGGCTCTCCCAGGAATCCAGAGTCGCTGGCCAAGAACAAACCCACCAGTGGTGGCTGCGTCCCCGTAGTCTTATCTTTCAAGGAAGTTTTATACACTGCTTTCCATGTTTTAAAGTATCTCTAAGCGCACAACTCTGGCTCATTGCCAGATGCTGGTGGGAGAGTCACGGGCACACTGGGCTGCCCCCTGCTGGCAGCTGGAGCCAAGTGGCAGGGCCAAGGAGCCCGGAGGAGCCAGTTGGCCCATTCATGACGAGCCAACGTTCTTCAGACCTTCTTCTTCATCTGAATGCAGACTACAGAGGACCTCATCCTCAGTTACACAGCTGCAGATGCAAGCACGAAGGCACTGAGGATAATTCAGGCTTTATGACGCATGCATCCGTAAGAAGTAGGTGTGCTGCATGGACTCTTTGTGGTAATTTGTATTAGTTAAAAAATAAGTCTCTCTCTGTATCACCCCTGTAACTAGGGATGTATAGATTTAGTTAAACCCATTCTTTTCTGTTCTGTAGATTGCCAGGCATTTTCATTCCATTCTCTGTATCTTGTCAGAACTCAATGTTGACTCCAAAGTTCAAATTCCCCAAACTTGAAAAGTCCACCATGGCTTTTACTCCAACCCTGCGGAACTGCGTTCTGGATAATGCAAACGTTACTCACTCTAATTCCCTTGGGTCCGCCAGGTCCTGGAAGTCCAACGTCCCCCTGAGAAATAGAGAGGAAAATGGATGAATGATGCATGCCACAGAATACATATAGAATGGAGAGCTCACTTTAAGCACAGGCATGGAAGGGCTTGTGTTCCCAAGTGAGTAAATTGTGATTCCACCCTAAACTGGGCTTTAGTGAGTGGTTCTATTTCTGTGCTACCTTTCTAGATCCAGCAAAGGCAGTTTGCAAACATTTCCAATAAAAAAACCTTCCTCAAATAAGAAACCTATTGAACAACACAAGAAAACATCACAATGCCTATAAACAGCCCAGTTAAACAGGTATCTCTTGACTCATTCCTGGATGCAGGAACACCTGATGCCATTCCTTGAGTTACTCACTTTTTCACCTCTTGGTCCAGCAGGTCCTTCTGGTCCAGGAAATCCAGGTAAACCTGGTTGGCCTTCTAAACCCGGGAACCCTCTTTCACCCTGCGAAAGGAAAAAAAGGATATTAAAAAGGGAAACGGCACAGAGGCCGTGGAGTTGGTTACATAGCTCCTGCTTGCTGTGAGAAAACAGGGCTATAGAGGTAGACAGGAGCAGGGGAGGCTGGAGTGCAAGTCCCCGATCAGGCCGGACAAGTTGAAGAAGGCGGTTTTAAGAAAGGAGATGTTGTTGTCATGCACCATCAAGTCATCTCCAATTCATGGCAACCCTCAGAACAAAAGCCCTCTAAAAGGCCCGTCTCTCCATCGTAGCAACATGGCAGTAAATTCCATGTTGATTATGCTTCCTTTTCTATGTCCTCTGTTTCCTGCTAATTGGTCTATTTCACTGGGTGGCCAGAGTTCTATTATTGAGAAAAGCTGGGCAAAAAGTGAGTTCCATCTGCTTTATCATAGAATCATAGAACAGCAGAGTCGGAAGGAGCCAAGAAGGAGCCATTCGGGTCCCTGCTGTTGCAGGACACCAAGTCACACCCTCCCACTCCGATGGCTGTCCAGTTTCTTTCTGAATGTCTCCAGTGTGGGACAGCCCACCACCTCTCTGGGCAGCTGGCCCCACTGTTGTATTTCTGTATTCAAGAAAAGTCAGGAAACTTTTCCTGATTCTAGCCTGAAACTGGTTTGTCTGCCAACCATGCTCTCTCTCTCCCTCTCTCCTTACAACGGGGGTTCAAATGAAACATGCAGTCACAGTAAATTAGTTTAGTTAGAATTGCAGTAGCACCACCTCATCTGACCTTTCATGGCTGCCAAGAAGGCTCAGCCTTGGGGCGTAGCATGCTTAGGTATGCAGTGAACCTTTGGAAAGCACAGTTGTCAACCTATGATCTCATTCATTCGAGCCACCGGCTAGAAAGGCGCAGCCCTGTGGCCGGCTGTATGAAAGCACCCCCAGTGCTCCACTGTGAAACATGGACTGGAACAGTCCGGCCCAGTCTGGGAACTGTTGGATAAAACCTGCACAGCCTTTCTCAAACTGGTGTCTTTTTGACACTTGGGACTTCTCTGCCCACCCATCCCAGCCAATGCTCAGGAAAGCTAGGAGTTCCAGTCTCAAGTAGCTGAAGGCTGCTGGGGAAAGCTGAACTTGAAGAAGTTAAATTCTGCTTTCCAAGTATGTTTGGAAAGTCAGATTCCAACCCACAATTGTTGGGGTCAGATTACTTTTACACAAAGGCACACCTATTTAATGCGCACACACATGATTTGCATTGCTTAACATTGTGGATATGGAGTGAGATTTTGTGAAGACATTCGTTGCACTGTTTTTATTCTATAAGCTTCCACGGGAAGCCAACGGTTTTGAAAAGTAGCTAAGAAATTAATCTAATTCTTATGATCCTTGCCCCTTTGATCATGACAAGGTTTAGCTGCTCTCTGATATGCCGGATTATTTAAAAGGCATTACAGTGTAAACCTTTTTGGCTCGAGAAACACACTACATGTATATCCTTTTATATGAAATTAAAAAGAATACTGCTCTTTGCATCACTTCCACCCCGAAAGTAAGAGTTGAGAGACCTCAAGGAGACAGAGAGAGTTTGAATGGACGCTTTTCAAGATGACTTTGCTCACCTTTTCTCCTTTTTGCCCACTGCAGTCACATTTGGATCCTGACGAGCAGCCATGGCAAGCCTAGATCCGAGAAAAAACAAAATGAAATAAGGGTAGGCCGATTTAAATCCAGGCAATCGGAATCCTTGGCTGAGATCACTTTGGCCCTTGAGATGCCATCATGCACTTCCTGAATGAGGCTGCAAAGTTGCCACTCAACCATATGCATTTATAACTCAAGAGGGTGATCCGGACTCTCCAGGAAACCAAAGATCTAACCCCATTAAGAGACCCAGATCTATGGGGCCTGTGTTGCTTTTTAAGGAGAACAGCATCTCCTTTGTCTTTAGATGACCTAAAACATGTTGCAACATGTCTAAACCACGGTAAAGAAATGGCTCTTCCAAAGTAGATCAATGTCAACTGATCCTTCACCGAAAATCCACCAACTTGGCACGAATTGTAGGTTGGGAGATGGTGGAGATAAACTCTTAGAAGGAAGGGGAATGAGTGGCTCTGAGAATATGCCAGTCCAAGAATTTGTTTTCAAAACAAGCACCATGTGTCGGATGGTCCTTCCACAAACAATCCACCCAGCTCAACTAATCCAAACACATGGTGGATCCAAACTCATGAGCAGGATGTTCACATCCTGCCTTCCTTTACAACAGGCTGCTCAAGGCGTCTCTGTCTGACAACCAGCCTGCAAACAGATCAGCCGAAATGCAGCCTGTGAGCTCTCCAACCAAGCAGTGACCTGAGGCCAAGTCTCCTCCCAACACACCAGCCTTCCTCAACTTGGGGTCAGCCAGATGTTTTGGACAGCTACCCTCCGGTACTCAGCCTTGTGAGTTGGGATTGCTGGGAGTTGTCATCCCAAGCATCTGCAGATCGCCACAGGCCAAGTGTGTTGAACCTCTTTCCATCGCTGAGCTGCACTCCAGTGGCTGGACGGAGGCAAAAGGAGCCCAGGCCAAAATGCCGAAACTGCCAGGACAGGTCAGCTGGAAGCTCTTCCTACCACAAACTAAGCTAAGTGCCAGAATCTTACTTCTCCTACACAAATCCTGGAAGGCTTTTCTCAGTTCGGGTCACATTTCTGAGTTGGAAAAAAGCACAAAGAAATGATCAGCAGCTACAATTGGGGCTGTTCAGCACAGAAAAATGGCAGGTAAGAAGGGGCATGATGGAGGTGTTTAAAAGGATGCACGGTGTGAGGAGGAAGAACGGGAGATGTTTTTCTTGCTCTCCCAGAACACTTGAACCCGTAATCACCCCATGAAGCTGACTGGTGGGAAATTTTAGGCAGAGAAAAGGAAGTAGTTCCTCATATAATGCATGGTTAAACTGGAATTTACTGCCATGGGAAGTGGTGATGGCCGCCAGTCTGGATGGCTTTCAAAGGGTGTGGACAGATTCATGAGGCAGGGGGCTCTCCATGGCTGCCACTCTTGCTGGCTAAGGGCTGCTTCCTTCATGAGAAGTGGCCCGCCTGCCTATCCCGGTTGCTGAGGAGCTGGGTAGCAGGGGGTCTTGCACCCATCCTGCTTGAGCTGGTTTGCCATCATGAGTATGGAGTGCTGGACTGGACAGACCTTTGGCTTGCTCCAACATGGCTTCTCTTCCTTGTGTTCTTACTTTGACCTTTAGAATGGGAAAAGCGGGGGGACTTGCCTTCTGGGAAGGGCCATATTGGAGCCCCTTGGGGGCCACATTTGGCCACAAGCAAGGGGTTCAACAACCCTGCCATACAGACACCCAGCACTGGCGTCCATGCGTTGCTCTCAACCACGAAGGGGAAGCAGTGGTGTCCCACAGGCAGCCCAGTTCCTGGCTCCACTATCAGCAAAGAGCTCTATACGCTTTGGGCTTCAACCCGAACGTTCAAGGAGCTCTCCACAGTGCTGAACCTACACAGGGGACAGAGGCCGGCACCTCACACTAACACCTGGGGCAGATACTCACACTGGAAGTGCCAGCCGCCGCTGCCCACAAGCTCCTTCCTCCGATCACTCCTGCAGCTGCTTATCTGAGCACGTGGGACTGCGCCTGCAGCTTCTGCACCAGCTGCCTCAGGGCCAAGCTGGACGACACGTGAAATCTGTGCCCAGGAGATTTAGCCACGCCATACAAATCGCAAGCAAAATCTGTTTCGTTCCGGGCTGCAATAAGCACTGCAGTCAATAGGTGGCGCTTTCTGCTCACAATTGGGAGAGCGAATTTCCCCAAGTCCATCCGGTTCTGAAGGCAAACGCACTTGTCTTCTTTCTCCTGTCCAGCCATGTCATACAAGACACATTTACCACCAAAGGTAAACAGACCAACATTTCGCATGCCTTGGAAGCTCAGCTGGCGTCCCAGCAGTTAGAATTTTGGATGCTGCCTCAAGCGACCTACATTTCAATCCCAGTTTGCTATCCTGTTTTCTGTTTCACTGCAACTCTTGCTCTCTCCTTGCACTAATTAGTTAGGACACATAGAAATGGGGAAGATATACAAAAATCACATCCCTATCACGGTGCAAATGAGAATATGCCCCCCATGGAAAACTACAATTTACAAATGGCAAAATTCACCATTAGTATTACATGATCATATTAACTAAAGAAAACTCAATGAAAGTGAGGGGAACCTTTTGGTTTAACATGTTTTGAGGGCTTTCCATGTTCAAACTCTAAATTACCAAGAAATTGGACGCATGATAACTAAGCAACATGCTTCTGGTATGATTATGCAATGTTGCAGTTATGCGGTACAAAACATTTTTATTTAATCATTGTAATATTTTTAATCCGCACAACAAGAAGTGTTCCCTGGGAAAATGGCAGCACTTAAAATAGAGCTAGAAGAATGAAGTACAATGCAAAAAGACACATAGGCCAGGAATAAACAAAAACGTCTATCAGAAAAGCTGCAAGAAATAAGTAAATCAAAATATGCTGCAGACCTTGCATAAAAGAGACAGTGGGGTGTATTGATTAAGAGTGTGGGCCTAGGACTCAGGCGATCCGGGTTCTAGTCCCCGCTCAGCCATGGAGCCAACTGGGTGGCTTTGGGCCAGTCACAGACTCTCAGCCCAACCTACCTCACAGGGCTGTTGCCGTGAGGACAAGACTGAAAAGAGGAGAATTTTGTAAGCTGCCTTGAGTTCTTTGAAAGGAAAAAGAGATACCACATGAATGCAATAAATAAACAAACACCCAGCTCCTTAGCAATACAGTTACAAGCAAGAGGATCATACAAATCAAGACATCAGCCAAGTTCTACCAACTAAAATACGCAATTGTGTTCTTACAGTGCAATCCACGCAATCCATACAAAACAAACAGCTGTTTGAGAAACTGTACACTTGAAATGATTTGAGTACGTCCACCATGCCGAGGAGAACTCAGACATTCCTTCTTCTGTGAGAAAGGCAACATTCCAGGCCACAGAAAAATTGCAAATGTCAAGCGCTAAGTATTTGTATTAAAATGAGTTCTCTCATCAAAGGCACCTTTATAGTTGATCCAAAAGATACTCAGTCCATTACAGCTGTGACTTAGAACAGCAGTTAATGAAAAAATATGTGCATTCCAACAAACCATCGCTCAGGAAAGAGTTACAAATTAACTTTTCCTGCATCACATGAGCAGGGGCATTTCTCCCACTCCTCCACAGCATCACCAGCTCTCCAAAGACCTGAGAAAGGAAATGCAACTCTGCAAGTCCAATAGTCCATGGCAAAGAAACCCCTTTATTAGGATCAGCTGGAAAATAATAGCAAGCTTTGGAGTTCTCCAGAACACCTTGACAGAAGCAGATGTTAAGCAGAAGGCAGAGGAAGGAGGAGAAAAAGCTGCAAATCCCATAATTGTTCTACAGGTCTGCAGTTTGTAACACTCTCAAGCGGGTATGCCAAAGGAGTTTACAGACATAACTGATTTAGGGGACAAATTTTGGAAGTTTTTCCCATTTTGCAGAATATAACGTTGAGTATGACCTGAGATATGTTGCAGATCCTCAATCAAAACATGTTGTTCTGTTGGGTGGGATGCAGAGAACAAAAATAATGGAGCATTGTCATAATCTTCCTGCCGGCACAGATGGAAATGTAAGTTTTCGATAGTGAATACGGCAAAGGGGTAATTGGGTAGCATTACCTAGCAGTGTAATGCAGGCACGGATTTTCCCAAAGTAAAGTTGCCGTCTTCAGTATAGAATCCTGCTCCTAGCCAACTAAAATTGAATATTTGCCAAGACACACTTACAAGTTAGATGGATCTTATAACTTATTGTTAATTTTCTTTGTCGTCATAGTCTCCACTGAGCAGCAAAGCTGCCTAAACTTCTTTTTAAAAAAGCAAGCAACTTTTCTTAGCACCAGCTTCTGCAGCAAATGTAACACTGGTGCCCTCTTTGCTTAGATGCAGTGCAGCAGGGTTTTAAGTTTGCAAAAGTCCAGAGGAATTAGAAAGCAGTGGGAGGGGGGAATGGAAGCTAATCCTGAAAAGAGAACATTCTGTACTAAGTATCGCTCAAGTAAGCCGGAAAAATCCAGCTGTTTTCATCTCCAAGCTGCCTACGTGTGAACTGTCTTCCTCTTTTAAGTTACACTAAGGGAAGTGAGAGACCTATTGCCTACATGGAGGACAGAGGGAAGTCCCTGGCATGTAACCTGAGCAAATTGTCTTCTATCTCCCCAAGCTGCTTCTGCTGCACTAAGGTTTTAACCGTTTGATTGTTGGATGCAATGTTTTAGTTACTATTTAACTACTGCTCGGGTTTTAAAAATAGGGCTGCAAATCAGAGCCACATGTGCAACTACAATCAAATGATATCCCACAGCCGCATTAAAAACTTATCATAGGCTGCACAATGCCTGGGAGCGGAGGAAGTGTTGAACCGGGTGCCCAAGAGAGAACAGTGTTGGTACCGGGTGGGCCTTGAAGGGGAGTTAATGCTATCACCACTGAAAAGGCCCTCCACGTTTGCATGCAGAGGGGGCCCCTGGATGAATGTCGAAGTGGGGTCCTGATGGGCCAGGCATCCTGCCTTTCATAGCTCCATCCAGCCCCTCAAATCAGGCTCAGAAGCAAGTG